AATCTGAGACTGAATTTCTAGTCTGAATTTGTCATTCTGTGGTAGAATGTCACAAATCCAAAACTATCTCATGAGAAAGTGACAAAAATGAGACGCAACAAAACAATACGTAGAGAAAGACAAAGGAAACTATCACATAATCAAATAAGAATGTAGTAATAAAAATTTGCATATATTAAGTTGCTATATGCACAATGAAACACAGAAATGCAGGTTATCTTTTCTAGCAGAGAGGGGAAAAGCACGTAATATTTCTTCTAAAATTTTGTAAGGTGTTATTATTTTTGTTGGTATAGGGTTACTAGAATATATCAGATCATTTAGAAGTCTTGCAGTTTCATTATGTGGTACTTTGACAGTTGCCTGTGCATTAATGGGAAGTACACTGTTTAATGATATGAATGTATTTAGAAAAGGCATGTATTCAGTTCTGTGGTGGTTTTATCTGTAGAAGTGTTTTCTTCCCTCAATGTGGAACATTTGCAAAAGGCATTAGACAGTCATTAGACATTTATTAGATAAATATATAAAGCTTCCAGTAAAGAATTTCAGTGTGATAAATAAAGGAAGTCTGGAAATCACATATTTCTGTCATAGATTCATTTATATCTGTAGTTTTTCCATCTGTGTATGTATCCTTAGTCACTTTACATATTTTGATTGTGCTTACCTCCAGTTAAAGTGGTAAAGAGTAAGGATACAGATGATGAATATTTATCTGAATTGATTTTCCTTTTTTGAGTATATAATTTTAATTTAATATATGGAAAGTTGAAGACATTGAAAAAAGCACTGCTTTTTGGTTTTTAAATTCCATTCACAGATTTTCTATACTGAATTTCTATAGATGGTATATTGAATTATTAACATTTCAGAATATTTGAAACAATCTTACTTTTTTGTTTTATAATTGTAGAAATTAGTGTATTGTTTTAGATGAGATAATCAAGATGTAAAATTACTCTGTTAAGATCTTTTAAATAGGAATTTGGAATAGTTAAAATTTGAGAATTTATTATCTCTATCCCCCTTCAGACCACTGTTTTTTCCAGATGTCTTTTACATAGTTGTTCTGGCAGTGGCTGACATGGGGAAGAAGTGTTGTCTGCCAGCTCATTCTTTTTTCTGAGTCTCTCAAGATGCAGCCAGAGAGTTTTGGCCAATGGCTCTCATGTCCAGGTGGAGGCCGATGATGAGCAGTGTTCCTCACCGGTCCTTCTTGGTACCGGTGCTCTTTAGTATCTTTATCAATATCAGACAGTGAGATCAAGTGCATCCTCACCAAATTGGCCAATGACACCAAGCTGAGAGGTGCAGTTGATACACCTGAGGGACAGGATGCCATCCAAAGGGAACTGGACTAGAGAAGTGGGCCCATGGGAGCCTCCTGAGATTCAGCTAGTCCAAGTGCAACCTCCTGCACCTGGGTCCAGGCAATCCTAGACAGGAAAGCTGAAAGAACTACTCACTGAAAGCGGTCCTGCTGAGTTGGGATTGCTGGTGATAAGTAGCTGGACATGAGCTGGAAATGTGAACTTGCAGCCCAGAACCAACCATATCCTGGGCTGCATCAAAAGCAGCAGGGGCAGCAGGTGAAGGGGGGGGATTCTGCCCCTCTGCTCTGCTCTGATGAGACACCACTTGGAGTATTGTGTATGGTTCTTGGGTCCCACAAAAGAAGTGGACACAGAAAAGAAGTGGACCTGCTAGAGTGGGTCCAGAGGAGGCCATGAAGGTGATTGGAGGGCTGGAGCAGCTCTACTATGAAGACAGGCTGAAAGAGTTGGAGCTGTTCAGCCTGGAGAAGAGAAGGCTTCGTTGTGGCCTTCCAGTACTTAAAGAGGGCTTATAAAAAAGAAGAGTGATTTTTACACGAGAAACACAGATATTAGGAGGGAATTCTGTACTCAGAGGGTGGTGAGGTGCTGGAACAGGCTGTCCAGAGAAGCTATGGATGCCCCATCCCTGGAAGTGTTCAAGGCCAGGTTGTATGGGACTCTGAGCAACCTGGTGTAGTGGAAGGTGTCCCTGTCCATGGCAGGGGAAGTTGGAATGAGATGATCTTTTAAGGTCCCTTCCGGCACAAACCATTCTATGATTCTATGATCTCCTTATATCCACAGTACTGCACATGTGCTGCAAATCCCATTATAGCAACAGACGTAACTTTGAAGCACAGTCAGTTCTTAGTGTACGTGTGCAATGGGTTGAATGGTGTTCGGGGAGAAGCAGTGGCACGTGGTTCGTGAGTGCTCCTGTAAGAGGTGATTTGGCTTACAGTACCTGAAGGCTGGACATTATTGATGCAACATGTATCTTTTTGTACTTCTCAGTTGTAGACCTACATAATGGCTAACATGACATACAGACAACAGCTACATTATTAGACATGTCACCCTTCCATAAGCCTTTAGAGAGCCATCATAAAGTGGAGAAAAGTTGTCATGTTTCCTCAGCAGATTCTGTTTTGCTATAGCAAGTCTAGTAGAGGGTTTTGGTCATTGTTTTGTTTTTTTTTAAATAGTATTATGGTTCTGGATTTTACCGATGCTGCTGTTTGCTTTCCTTTCTGTTTACAGGTTTGATGTAGCAGTTAGTGGTTTGTGTCTGTTTTAATTTATCTTGGGAGAGGGAAAGAAACATTTTGATTTCCCTCCCCCCACCTCTAAATTTATTCTGGTATTTACACTATTTCCCAAAATAAATTGAGTGGCAACTACTGCAAGTATAACAGTATGTTATGAGTCTGAGCAAGTCAGAGGCAGGGCTGTGGGCCTCATTTCCTCAGGACTGCCTTGTATGTTGTAGTGTTTGTTACCATCTCCATGCAAATTTAAACCTGTTGACCTATTTTACCATGTATTTGAGGTTTTTACCCTTTTCAAATGATTACATTTTTACTTTAGTGCTCAGTAAAACAGTTCAAAACAAACAAAAAAGAAAATAAACAAAAAACCCACTTGTCAAAGTCAGACATGATAGGGTCCCTTAGACTGACAGTACTGAGCAGTCAGTGCCAGTCAGAAGGCACACAGCTTCAGACTAGTATCTGGACTAATGTGGGTATCATTGAGACTATGGGCAAGCAAGGACTGTAGGAATGTGGATTTAGGAATAAAATGATTCTGTAGGGAAAACTAAGCTTTATTCTATTCACTGCTCATGGCTGGGGGTGGGGAAGGAAATCAAAAAATGCACATCCAATTAATCCCTATGCTTTTGATGAAAACTTCGGGGTTTTTCTTTTCAGGGTGAAGTAATAGCCATGGACAAGATAGCTAACAAGGTCAAAAAAATCAAGCTGAACGCTGAATTGCTACAATTGAATTGCATTAAGGCCTTTTGCTATGATGGAACAAAGGCTCTTTCAGTTGAGAAACGAGAGGATGAACAAGGTAAAATAAACAATTTGGCTTTTAGAAGAAAATAGGAATGTTTTGCACTAATAGTATTAAACCTGCCACAGGTCTACAAGTCCTTGAAATTTTGGCAGATTCTTAAGTTGCTTCAGCACTGTGAATGTGCTTTTATTTTCTACTCTTTTGTAATTATCAGCTTCTCTATGAAGCAAATACAAAAGTCAAATGATCTGTTCTTATCACAACCTAATATGCTCAAAGGAAATGCATTCCTTTCCCAGATAATATCAAAGAAAGAAGAAGCCTTAAAGCTTCTTTCATGATCCTGTTTAACCCCATACTCTCAATTGTCTGACCTAGTCTGAGAAAAAAGCTATTTGTGCAGACTTGCTTGGCTTTCCTGCCTCATAATCCTCATCAGTAAAATTGGGTTATTAATACCTAACTCCCAGGAGTGCTGCAACGTTTAGTTCATGGATGTTTGTTCAGCTGTTCAGTGGAAAGTTATATAGACGCACAGTGTATTATTTTAAGTTCATTTCATTTGCTTTTCTGAAGTGCTGCAGTTATGATACTGGTTCTGTTCCCATGACAGAATGATTTAAACGGTATCTGCTGTCTTGATTATTTTTAGTTTGTTGTGCAAAGTATGCTGTTCTTTCTCACTCTATTTTGTCTCAGTCAGTGGTTAGCCTAAGTAGGAATCAGATTGCATAATTCACCTTCTTTGTCCCTATGCCTTGCAGTTATTCCTGCTTTGGAGGAACAAAGATACTTTCTTAATTGTCTCTTTATGAACATTAAATATTGTAGGTGGTGTGTAGCAATTACACTGATGAACAAGAGCAAGATGTTCCACCCAGAGATCCTGAAGGCTTTTCTGTACATCTCTGCAAGCAAGACATGACATATTTTGAACATTTTAGTAATGGATCAGAGGTAGATAAATCAGATAGACTCATTTTGTAGTGCAGGAACAAGCTAGTTAGCAGTAGTACGATAGTAGAAGTATGGGAGCAGTAGTACCTGGAGATACTGAGCTGGACAGCCTCTCTAGAACTGAGGAGGTAGAAACTTTTGGGCTGTTGAGCCAGTGGGGTTCAGATTAAAGCAGGCTCTGCGTGTAGAAGATACATATTCCCATATCATCCAAGTAGTAGTTAGAAATTGTTCTTGTCTTCTCAGTCCTTGTTTATTGAATTGTCCTGCCATGGAGACATCATGTCACACATTAGAACTTGTAATGGTTCATGTTATTATGAAGTGCTTTATTTTCTATGGATATGCATGCATCACAAGAAATAGTTATCATATTGACATTCCAATTATTATTTAAGGCAGTAGTAACAATTAACTACAGGTTTCTCTCAGTAAAGGTTTGTTTCAGTTATGAGCTAACTGTGGTTCATCACAGCCTATATGTACAACTCTGTACTCAACATCTCTGACCAATCATATTTCCACTTACTTGTTTGATTACTTTTACATATTACTTTCAAATTACTAAAATAAGTTTAAAAATTATTATTGCCTAAAGGGATAATTTCTGAGCTCACAGAACTTAAACTGTTTAGTTTTCTGGGAGATGAAAACTACCACCAGCAGTGCTGAGACTTGTCTCTAGCTGAGACTGCTTTTGCAGACACTGTCTATACTACATTAATGTTTTACATCAAGGAAGCAGTAACAGCTTGTCCTTTTCTGCAGCAAAGTCTCAAGGAAAGAAACACAAATTTTACAAAGCTATGTGCTTTTTACAGAAGGACCTCCATTCTCACCAGAATCATTTGATCGAATTCTTCTTGATGCTCCATGTAGTGGGATGGGACAGAGACCAAACATGGCTTATTCTTCAACTTTAAAGGAAGTGACCTCTTACCAGCCACTACAGCGCAAGCTTTTCACTGTGGTATGTATTAAACACTGAGTAGATAAGCTAAATTGAACGTAAATGCTTCTGCAGCATAAAACTTCATACTGAAAAAATGGTGCCTTATTTTCCCTACTTTTTCAGCAGCTAAGAAGTGTAAGGGTCTAGTTAACCTCTCAGCTCCACCATATCTATTGCTAGGTGAAGTCAATTCATTGGAGCATGGGAAAGGTATATGTAATACATAGTAAATAAAAACCTTTGTGTTTTTTTAAATCCCTCAGTTTCATCACTTTTAGTTTATAATAATTGCAAGGGTCTAAGTCACAGAGAAAGTTTCTTAGGAGCCTGCTGAGGAGCGTGCTTGGGCTGATGCTGAAAGATAAAATTTAATGCAACTTGTCTAAATCTGAATGACACCTCCTTTTTTTATAAAACCTCCATTATTCTTTATTGGACATAGGCAGGAATATGGTTATCAAAGATGAGGAAAAGGCTGAGGTATGTAACACCTTCTTTACCTCAGTTTTCAACAGTAAGGGTTGTCCTGAGGACAGCTGGCTTCTGGAGCGTAGACAGAACTAAGAAGCTGAATAGCTCCCCTGTAATCCAGAAGGAAACAGTTAGTGACCTACTGAGCCACTTGGATCCCCACAAGTCTATGGGACTAGATGGGATCCACCGAAGGGTGATGAGGGAGCTGGCAGAAGAGCTCACCAAGCCTCTCTCCATCATCTACCAACAGTCCTGGCTCACTGGGGAGGTCCTAGATGATTGGAAGTTGGGGAATGTCATGCCCATCCACAGAAAGGGCCGGAAGGAGGACCCAGGAAACTACAGGCCCGTCAGCCTGATCTCAGTGCCTGGCAAGGTTATGGAGCAGATCATCCTCAGTGCAATCACACAGCACCTACAGGATGGACATTGGATCAGACCCAGCCAGCATGGATTTAGGAAGGGCAGGTCCTGTCTGACAAATGTGATCTCCTTTTATGATCAGGTGACCTGCCTGGTGGATGAGGGGAAGGCTATGGATGTGGTCTATCTGGACTTCAGCAAAGCCTTTGACACTGTATCCCACAGCATTCTCCTGAAAAAGCTGGCAGCCCAGCTTGGACAGGGGCACTCTCTGATGGATTAGGAACTGGCTGGAGGGCCAGGCCCAGAGAGTGGTGGTGAACGGTGCTGCATCCAGTTGGCGGCTGGTCACTAGTGGTGGGATCAGTGTTGGGCCCAGTTCTGTCTAATATCTTTATTGATGATTTAGATGAGAGGATTGAGTCCACCATCAGCAAATTTGCAGATGACACTAAGCTTGACACTAAGTGTCAATCAGCTGGAAGGCAGGAGGGCTCTGCAGAGGGACCTGGACAGACTGGGTTGGGCTGATTCCAACGGGATGAGGTTCAACAAGGCCAAGTGCCGGGTCCTGCACTTTGGCCACAACAACCCCCTGCAGCGCTACAGGCTGGGGACAGAGTGGCTGGAGAGCAGCCAGGCAGAAAGGGACCTGGAAGTTTGGATTGACAGGAAGCTGAACGTGAGCCAGCAGTGTGCCCAGGTGGCCAAGAAGGCCAATGGCATCCTGGCCTGGATCAGGAACAGTGTGGCCAGCAGGTCCAGGGAAGTGATTCTTCCCCTGTACTCAGCACTGGTGAGGCCACACCTCGAGGACTGTGTCCAGTTCTGGGCCCCTCAGTTCAGGAAGGATATTGAGGTGCTGGAGCAGGTCCAGAGAAGAGCAACAAGGCTGGTGAAGGGACTGGAGCACAAGTCCTATGAGGAGAGGCTGAGGGAGTTGGGGTTGTTCAGCCTGGAGAAGAGGAGGCTCAGGGGAAACCTCATCACTCTCTACAACTCCCTGAAAGGAGGTTGTAGCCAGGTGGGGGTTGGTCTCTTCTCCCAGGCAGCTATCAGTAAGACAAGAGGGCATGGTCTTAAGCTGTGCCAGGGGAGGTTTAGGTTAGATATTAGGAAGAAATTCTTTACAGAGAAGGTAATCAAACACTGGAATGGGCTGCCCAGGGAAGTGGTGGATTCTCCGTCCCTGGAAGTTTTTAAGATGAGAGTGGATGTGGCACTTAGTGCCATGGTCTAGTAACCACGGTGGTAGTGGATCAAGGGTTGGACTTGATGATCTTGGAGGTCCCTTCCAACCCAGCTGATTCTATGATTCTATGATTCTATGATTCTATGACACATATTCAAAGTGAATGACAGCTTGAAAAGTAGCATAGATATAGCTTCCATGCGAAATATGTGGAAACAGTTGACATCTAATATAACTGATAAAAGTATTGTGTATCCATGGTTGACAGCAGGTGGTGAAAACAGACCTACTAATCTGTCTGGGATATGCAGAGCTGTATAAATAACAACTCTTACAAGGTGAATCATCTCAATGGCATTAATAAACTGCATGAGCTATAATGCCTGTTTAGAAAGAAGAACCTTTCTAATCCATGGGATCCTTTACTGTATTCCCTGAGACGAATTAGTATCCTAATGCCTCTCTTAGAGAGATTTGAGTTTAATTAAGTGCTAAGTTTTAATATTATTGCTTAACGGATTCTTGCTTAATGTTGCTTAATATGAAAGTTTTTACATTTAAAAATAAGCTGTACTATTGATTATTCTCCTTGCAGGCAGTGAAGTTGCTGAAGCCAGGAGGTGTTTTAGTATACAGTACATGTACGATTACACTTTCTGAAAATGAAGAGCAAGTTGCTTGGGCCCTGAAAAGATTTCCATGCCTCCAGCTTCATCCACAGGTAATAGTATTTTTAGGGTACTTCACGCAATCTAATGAGCTTGTTTTGGAACTGTGAAGTTACACACTATATTTACTATCAATAAATCTCTTTTTCACTGTGGACAATTTTAACTGCTGTGGATAAAAATAACGTGAGGATTTCAGCTTTTTTACAATCTAATTTTGTGCTTAATTGCGCTTCGTTTAGGGATCATTAAATAGCTTCCCACTGTGTATTGTGGTTATTTTGATTTGTGCAACAGTCTTTTAAAACACAACAGGGACGAAAGATAGTTTAGACAGATTGTCTTGCAATTGTTCTTTAATGCATATATTTTATTCTCTTCTTTTGCACATTGATAGGAAAGGTGAAAATTATTTTATTAATGCCACTGAAGTTGTGACGACATACATAAAGGATGGGACATAAGTGAAAATAAACTTGTGTTTTGAGGAAGGAGGATTTTATACGTATGGGTGCTATTTTTGCTTTATTTAAAGGAATGAGGGAACAAATTTATTTCGGGCTAGAATTTTTTATCTATACCACATACTCTGTACAGTTAAAAAATATCTGTTACCTTTATTAGTACTTTGAGGGAGTCTGTCCCTCCCACTGTATGCATCCCTCTTCCTCTGATGATGTGATGAGCTGGGTGGGGTAGTTGTTTATCGTTATGGCTTTAAGGAAATATCTACCTCCAATACCTGTTTAGCTTACTTATACATTCTGTGATGACTTGTACCTGTCTTAAGAAGTTTAGATGAACCTTTTAACTGAAATTAACAAAATATATACAACAGGTATACAATAAGAAATTATATGAAGACTGGTAAAGATTTAACAGAATTGAAGCTCTTCTTCAACGATTTGTTTGTTCTGTTCTTCTGTCTGCTTTCTTTCCATCCATTTACTAGGAATTTTTCAGTTCCAGCCATTTCAACTAAGATTATACATTTTACCTAACAATATAAAAAAATTCTCCCTGATAGAATTACAAAGTGAAACACAAGCCCTATTAACTCAAATGCAAGATTAATTCTGGTTTAATAGACTTTCTCTCACCTGTAATATCAGTCTTAAATAAAGCACTGTTCTTCACACACAAACGCCATAAGAATAAATTTTTTGTGAATAGTATATTTTAAATTAAATGACACTGAATTGTTTACCCATAGATAGTTTCTAGTACCTTATAACCAGTTCTCCAATAGTGTAAAGTAAGGTGATATTTTCCAATGAACAGGAACCTGGAGTCTAAGGTCTACTTACCTCATGTTCCTTTATGTATTTATTTCCTATGTTGTTTAGTCACTTATTGGACACCTCCTTTTATACCCAGTCCACTGTTTCCCCATTTCTCAGTTTGGCAATAGATCCTGGAATCATGTTGGGTAAGATGAGTAAGGAAAGGAGATGGAGCCATAGGTGTCGTTCTCATAGGTGGATGTTACCACGTCGCAGCTGATCCTTTGTGCAGACTTACTTCCTCTTAGGTGTTACACAGGAGATACTGTAGATCAGCTTAAATGCAGTAACTTAACTGGAAGAAAAAATGAAAAGGTATACAAAAACACTGGTCTTTCTTTGAGCAAGTTGCTTGAACCTGTGCAGTACTGTTTTTCATAGATTTCTATCTTTCCATCCTTCTACTGCATTACTTCAAGTTGCTACCCTTGTCTCCCTTTGTATGTTATTTTTCTCTCAATTTGCAATAGACACCTCTTTTTGTCTTTTACCTGGAAAACACTGAAATCCTATTGAGGGGAAGGAAGAGAAGAATCAGGCTTCAACCTCTTGGTTGTCCAGCTTTACTGCACACAATATGTGGTTAAGCAGCTAACTCACATCATGTGCTGACTGGGTGAGATCATGTGTTTGCAAAGTGTGATGACTGACAAAATGCTCTGCTGCAGGCTGCATTATAGACTACATTAGACTAGATTGACAAAAGAGATCTACTTTTGATATTGCAGTGCTAGCTTTTGTACATTTTTTCTATTCCTTAATGAATGCATTGAAAGCAAATCCAGCTAAGAATTAGATTTCTTCCAGGAGTGTATTAAATAAAAAACAGTCAGGGCTACTCACAAGAAACACTGAGAAAAGGGCTGTGATTTTAAGCCCTTCTCCTCTCCAGGATTTTGATGCCAAATGTCATCTCCTGAATTCAGATACCTAAGCGTTGCTTTCTTTTTTTCTCTGCCTCATAGACATACACATGTAACAGTGGTCCCATTTATCTATTAGTCTTATTACATGACATATAAAAAATCTGAAGTTCAGATTTTTCTGCTGCATCATTTGCCAGAATGATGCTTCCTCAGGCAATAAAGTATTCTGGACTGGGGCTTTCAGTCTCTGCAGTTCAAGTTTTCAATGTGAAGAATCCAGGTATTTCTACTACTGTTACTGAGTATATTAGTAATGGGCTAAGGAATGACTATTTTTGACTTAACTAATAGCTATTAGTCAGTACACAGCTATTAGTCAGTACACAGAAATGCTGCATCATTTAAAAGTGGCAACCTAAAACCTTTGGACCAGCTGTCTGGTGATAACAGCTTTCTTGTCATGTTTCAGTCCTTTGAGTAATGAATTGATTTAGACCTGTGTACTCATCAACAAGTGCTCTAAGCAATGGGTTGAAGTGGGTGAGGGGCACCACCACCTCCTCAAAGTACTCTGAACCTTGTATATATGTTTGTAGATATTGGCCAGATGAAGGCAAGAAAAGAAGGCCACATTACTTCTGAATCCCACCTGGTGTAAATGATACAAACCTAGCTTTTCCACATTACCAGTTAAGTATTCTGCATATACTCAGCAGAATACATATAAGGCCTTTAAGAATTTTACAGATGCAATAATTTGCTTTTCTTTGTTACTTGAACAGGAACCTCACATTGGAGGAGAAGGCATGAAGGGAGCTGGACTGACACTTGATCAGTTGAAGCTGCTGCAGAGGTTTGATCCAGCTGCTGTGACATTGCAAGGAATGGATATTAATTCATTGCAAGATTCCAGAGAAGATGACCTGATCTCATTGGCAAATAAGGACTGTATAGGATTTTTCATTGCAAAATTTATTAAATCGAAGAGTAAATAAGGATCTGGGAATGCAACCTGAAAAAATACCTCAGTGAGTCTAAGAACAGTTCAGACGTGAAGTGCGTTTCTTCCTGCTGCAATGTTACCAAGCCAACGGACTGACGGCAGGGTTGCTATGGCAGCAGTAAAATCTGCCAGCTGTTCTGATGGGAAAGAGCCACAGGTTGCAAGAAAGTCATGGTTGGGGGAAGGGTAGTATCATTTTTAAGTCTTCCTTCGCTTTTGTATTTACAGCAGGTCAGTGCCTGAATGACAAGTATGTTCACTCATACTGGTGTTGCTTATCTGGTGCAGCAAGCACAGGAAGGGGATGTAAACTACTTTATGAAATGAAAACATAAATAAAATAAATGAGAGCTATTGTAATGAATTTTTGAAAAGGAAGTTTCTATGGAGGTTTACTGATAGTTAATGTTTCATTAAATAGTGCTTCACAAAACACTGTAACATGTTACAAAGAACTGTTTTATAAATTGATACTTAGAACCTCATTTCTCTTTTATTTTAATACAAGCAAGATTCTCTGTACACATAGTATATACACAAAATACGATTAGGCTTTGTAGCATGTCTTTTATAGCAGCATGAATATATTAAACCATCTCACTCTGGGAATGTAAATAAATATTGTTTCAACATCAAACTTCCCATGCATAAACTGTATTGGTTCTGAAATAGGCTACTGGACTGGCTGACAAGTGACAATTTTAAAATCAAACATTTGCAACAGAAGGGGCTACAGTTGTGATTAATATATTAAAAGACAGAAAACAATGCATAATACCATCTGAAATGTTGCAAATCACCTTTCAAAGAACTAAGAATATTAACTCTTTATTGGTTAGAAAGCATCACCAGCTAAAATCGTGTGAAAATTGAAAATGGAGAAGCATGCTAATGAGAACTGCCTTAATACATTGCTCAAAGATTTAATAACCTAAATTTCTTAAAGATGTTAGCTGTATTTGAAAATTCTGCTTCAGTTCCAGTTTGAACAGGATTCTCTTTTCTCAGACCTGCTGGAACTGACAATAGCACTAAAATTAGAAGGAAAGGTAAGTACAATTCAAAAACGTAAACTGACATCTCTGTGTGTTTGTTTGTTTCCTCTCTCTCATCAATTTCCAGTTTTAAAAAACATTATCTGAAAAATGTCTGTCTTTTCACACATAACTATTTGTTGGATTAAAAAGAGCGATAGTTCTTTTATCATTTGTCTTTCTACTGTCAGAAGTGCATTTGTATTTGCTTGCAATCAAAACAATCTATAGATTTGTTTCTCAGTAGTCTGGTTGTTTACTTATATTTTCTATAAATGTTTTGGTACCATATGTTTTCTACTCTTCTAAAATAAAAAACAAATGTCTCCTGTTCTGCCAAGGTTGACTAGTACATCCTCTGTAAGTCCTATCCTAGAAGGATAGGAGGATGGAATTCTTGTGTACTGCTCTGCTTTTGTTGGTCACTCCTTGCCATTAAACACAACATATCTAAAGAAGATTTAAAGTAATTTTGTTTCATCAGTAGTAGGTGAGATATCCTATGTAGAATCATGAAAGCTTGTACTATAAATTACAGTCTTTTTAGTCTAAATATGGCTAAAATAATTACCTGGTAACAAATTGTTAGTATGTGTTGAAATCTTTAACTCAGTGCTAGTAAAAAAGCATTTTCTTTTTTGCAGAATATATAAATTTTGTAAACATTAATCAGCACACATAGACTATATACTGAAGTTTGTATATTTATATAAAGTAAGGAACTTTACCTCCGGTTTCAGTAGCAGGATTTGTGCAATGCAGAATTTGAAGGAATTAAGATTGCTGAATTTTTAGTGGAAGATTTGTTGAGACTTTCCCAGATTTCTTTAGTTTTGGATGATAAACAGGCTTTTCAAGAAGGTGACCTCACTTGATTTTATATGAGAAATTTCTTGGGGGTGAGGAGTGGGAAGAAAAAGTAGCTAACTTCTATTTGATTCCAGTGTAATTGCAGACCAGACTTTAGCTGAAAAAAATTACTGATAGATGAACTTTAACTAATAGGTTTGTTTCTGCAAAAGTCAACTGCTAGACTTAAAAGAGCATTCAGCATATTAAAGGGATAAGCCTCAGCTCTTTCCACGAGGCTGCTTTCCTTGTTGTAGTTGGGAAGAGACTTCGTCATGCAGTTCAGAACAGAAAGTCAGTTGAGATGCTCCAAATCATACCTTGAAGGAGCCAGCATCCTTTCTCTGACTACAGGTTTGACTAATTTAGATGACTAAAGTTCGATGGATGACCTTCTTTTTTTTTTTCTCCTTTTCCAATCTTACTGTGACTTTAACTAGAAGTGTAGGAATGCTTTCTCATTGACACATTTCTGATGTATAGTGTATACATGTTTTAAATACATAATAGGATTAGTTTCCTATAAGAATCTTTACACACTGAATAATTATACTTCAGTGATTGGTGCTGAAGCACAGCTGAATATATATATATATATGTGCTTATATATACTATATGAGATATTTATATAATAAATTTAAAAAGGTATTGTTCTTGTCATTGTAATGAAAGATTAATCCTACAAAATAGATTAGGCATGCAATCAGATCCTGTCTGTAAGAAAGTCTGAAAAGTAGTTTTCTCTATCTGCAGAAAGAGTGATTAGTAATAGTGCCAAATCTAAATATTCATCTTGGTCAATATAAAGATACTAAAATAGGCAGCCTCATATATTATGAAATTATTATACAGCTTTTTCCTGTTTCAGTGTTATGGAATGCACCATTTTTTGGATCACAGGATTTCATATGTTTTTTAAGGTAAAGGGAGTATTTTAGTAAAAAATAGGCTGGTGATGGTGATCAACAAGAAATTACTTTGGAGTGGGTAGTTTAAAATATAAAGAACCTTCTTTTTATGTTTGATTGTTCATGACTAAAAAGTTTATGAACAAATCCAATTTTGTACTGCATGATAGCATGACAGATAAAAGTGGCAAGAATAAAGTAAGAAATGAGAACATGGATGAGTTAGAAGAACCGACTTAATCTCTATTATATCTGATATAAATCTTTTTTGAGTTTGTGTAGGAACACATTTCTAGGGTGGTATGTTATAAAAAGAAACTGTCTATAAAACTACTGTAAGCTCATATGTAACAGTTTGTTATATAAAAGTGGGGAAATAAATTACAGACAAATTGCCAAGCAATAAATTTGATTGAATCACATTTGATTAAAAACATTCACAGTAAAAATGGCATCTGTATTTTACAGATGATAGAAGAACTAAAATTTTGGTGAAAGATCTGCAATAAAGTAATAAATATAAGTAAATGTACACCAGAAATGTTATATTACACTCTGAAAAATAATTTCTCAGTTTTCCTTTAGACTATGTAATCAAGTTTTTTGCAATGTGCTTGATTTTCATGGATGGAGAAGAATTTAAGTCAAAAACATTTGGGAAATAGCTTTCAGCCTGATGTGTTAAAGCAATCAGAGGTCAAACATAACCACAAACCAAAATAAATCTTGAAGAGTCTTTAGTAACTAACAAACACAGGAGGTGGTTTACACCAATTTTTTTACTTTGAACAGACATTGATTAAAAGCAGTCAGACCACTCCCTTCATTCCAGCTGAGGGAATCATAGTGGACCCCATTAAAACCTTTGCAGGTGTCACAGAACGTGAGCATGACTTTACAACAGAGCTTAAAAATTATATTTACTAACAAACTCATAAAAGACAGGAAGTATTAAGGGGCAGGGTATTAGACCTGGGCAGGAACTGCATGTATAGGAAGAGTAACCACGTATGCAGGGAGAAGTAAGAATGGGTCTTTACTTTTATTCAGGGTTTAGTGAGTGGAATTCTATTTCCTTATCCTCCATTTATAATAAGGGCTATAGGTTAAGAGTTTACACATTTCTGTGAAGAGAAATGCTCCACTGAAACTCTCTGTGGCTTTAAAACTGATCTTCATTAAATAGGTCCAAAGCCTTAGTTTTATACATTGAGAAGCAAAAGTTACAGAACTCTCTTCAAATTCTGAACTCCGGATACCAGACACAGAATATGAATTCATGAGCATTCTAGAAGAATTCTTTAAATTCTAGGCAATAATTTATGGATTGATTTAATAAAAATAGTTACTTTCAGCTCTTAACTCCTACTGATGCTGCCTCTGTGCACAAAACTCTTTTCTTATTCTTCCCCACTGTCCTGTCCCTTAGCTGGTCTGGAGACTGTTACTGTCACCTCCTTCCAGTCCCTCCTCAAGAATACTTTCTTCCATGATGTCTGTGTGACACTAAACAACTGGTAAAAATAGACTCAGGCTACTCAGCACTGATGTATATTCGTTTGAAAAAAACCCACACAAAAATAAGATTCACGTCTAACATATATACATGCAAATTTGGAAATGCATCGCATTCCTTCCATGTACTGAAATCCTTTAGAAAAATATAGAGTTAGAGCTGCCAAGACTTACATATCACTTAACTATTTTATCTTCCTCCCCTTTCCTTTTGTTCCACTGATTTTATTGTATTTTAGCTCATTTGAACAGAAATTTTACAGGTTGTTTCGCACCACACATACATAAGAAGACTCTGGAGCTCACTGGGACCTCTACCATTTCTCAGACTCAAAACCCTGAAACCAGATATAGAAATACAAACTCATTAGTATCCTAATGCAAACAATAATATTAAACTTTCTATTGGCAAAACTTTGCAAAGACATTTCATCACAATAACCTTTGATATGTTCTCCAGCTGGAGTATATTTAAAGCTTCTTATTGACATAACTCTGTTAAAGTGCTTTTCAAAGTAGTGCTCAGCAGGCAGGTGGTATTGTGCAATATATGTAGTACAAGCTCACATTACAAATGATTTCTCACTCTTAAAACAGTAACTGAAGGAAAGTATCTTAGCAAGGCTAATAAAAACCTATTCAGTGAGTCTGTCTAAGAAATATGCGTTTTTGTTAGTACGTTGTCTGTACATAATCAGCAGCACTATACAAAACATGTTTCTATGACTAGCTGGATTGGGACTTGTCCTTTTTTGTGATGTTTATACTCCATAAATCAATTTATAGGCCATACTTAAATACTAGTGTTTGGACTATGCTCTTTATTTTCTTATGTCTATACATGGCTACCTACTCCATAGTTTTCATATACTACTCAGTGCTTTGAAATTCTGCCAAATATTCCTTAAAAATACTTTAAGAAAGGTGAAAAATAAATACTCTCTGGAGCAAAAGTAAAAACAAACAAACAAACAAACAAAGAACCCACAAAAAAACCCCAAAACAAACCAAAAACCCAACAGAAAAAGAACAAAATATTCAAGGTATTGAAGTGGAATCACTTCTTAGAGGACATAGCCATCATGAGTTGTAGAGAGCAACAGCATTTACTGAAGCTGGTAAATTAGCTAAAGCCAGGCAATATAGAGCAAGACAATATAACTTCTCTTCCCACTTACACATGATCTGATATGATTCAAACAACAAAGTCTTGCAATGTTATTTTTCACAGATACCCTGAAAATTCTCTTGTATCAAAAGCCACTGTTTATGTACTCTTATATATCCATTTACTAATACAACAGATCTACTTACCTATTCTTCCTTTGTCTACAAAGTCATATAGTGATGTTTAGAAAAATGATGAGAATTTTATTTTTAGAAAAATAACCCTTTTCCTTGTGTTCCCCATAGTTCATGCTTTGAGCCAAAACCTACCCTTGAATAACCACAAGAGTCAGCAGCGCTGGGAGGAATGGCCAGATATCTGACAGCAGAATTTCTTACTCTCAGGTTGTTGTAAAAAATGCTTATAAAGCATCAGGGAGAGGGGTGGGAGAGGGAGAGGAAGGACAGAGTACGTTTAAAGGAGTTAAACTGAATTACTTGGATGCTGAGATAGGAGATTGGAGAAAACATGCACCTGCCATATATCTTATCCATTTCACTAAAATGATATTCAAAATCAGGCAATGCTGATATTCCCAGAATTTAAATAATAAATAAAAAGAACTTCCAGCTACTTTAATTATTATCGCACTACAGTCTTTATATAACGTGCTATTTACAGGGAAATACAAAAAGTATTTCATTCATACAAGTACTACAAAGACTATATGTGATGCAGAACAGCTTTTACACTAGGCAAGGGTATGGAACCTGGAGTCAAAAATAATAGTGAATTTGCCCCCACTTACCAGTGCAACAGGTGTTCAATGCAAAACAAACTGTTCACTCCCTTTGATTTCAATGCATTTTCTCTAGAAAGCTCCTAACAAAGCATTTTGTCACAGTCATTTTTCTATACTCTCACCAGCAGCACAACATCTTAGGTGAAGGAAAAGCAGTGAGCTGGCTGCAGAGTGGGAATGCAGAGGAATTGGCAAGTGTAGAAAAAGTGGAGAAGCTACAAAAATTTATTTTCCAACAAAATATCTCTCCACAAGCTGTGTAAACTTTTCTTGCTAAAACAAATACTCTAGAACAAAGATTTTACATTTCCAGTGAAACTCACAGTAACATTTGCCTGTTTTTGCTCTCCCGAAGTCTCAACAAAGAGCCAGCAGATTTCTACTTTCCCAGTTACTTGGGTCAGTAAACTCCCTCATATTCCCTGACTGCAATTTGGATTTTTAAATTAACAGACAGAATGAAGAAGCAGACTTTTTGGGCTGTTGAGTAACCTTTGTTTTCTTCAGTAGATTCTCACACTTCACTGCCTAATGTGCACATGCACACGTACGCCCATCCACCACCCACCACTCACATACACGCCTCCAACATGTGTGCTCTAGTATACTGACAATAGAACAAAAATTAAGCTGTGCCCATTGCAATCTTGTGACCTGAACAGAGAAGAATAATTTATAGTGGTAAGTCATTATCTTTACCATAACCTTGAAATGCAAAATTGGGTTTGCAAGGACAGCATAAGGTAAAAGAGTTACACCCTTTATCTCAAGCACTCATCCGTATTTACAATAAGTATAAGCTTTCTGCTACAGAAGAAGAAGTATTTAGATTGAACACTGTTACAGATTTCCTAAGTGAGGCTAGTTCCAGTTGCCAGTAATTCAAAAGCAAATCTGTTGACTTGGCATTAGGACTCTAAAACAGTGTGATCAAACTTATATAGTAAGAAGGTGTCTGCAGAAATAACATTTATAAACTGTATATACAGTACACAGTACCAGTACATAGAAAATAGATTTTGACTCCATGATCCCCTGTGTGTAAGGCAAGACAATTCTGTCTTCATATGGAGACCACCAGAGGTACAAGCGACAGAGTGGTGCTTAAATCAATATGCAAATCAAGTGCATACAAATTAAAAATCAGAGCAGACAAAAAGTTTTAGATTCTTTTATGTGCTGATCTTGGCTTGCTGAATACACGGGAAGTTATTAAACATCAAATGTACCTTTTTTTTAAAAAACACTAACAACACCTTGATGGCAACAGATATTGTTCAAGTGGCAGCTACCAAAAACAGCTTGAAAAATGTCATAGTACAACATCAGGAACTCTTCAGTTGTACCACACTAATTCATATAGCACTAACCAAAAAAATAAGTATATGAATATTCTATTTCATGCTATTGCTATGCAAGCAACAGCAATACAAATCAGCATACAGAAGGATACCATGTGTTCTGCAATGAAGAACCCAAAGATATTTTCAAGGGCCATTGTTACAAGACTTCAAAGAAACACAAGACTGCCAGAGGCAAAAGTTACTGACGGATGTAAACATCCCTGTTCCATTCTCCCGCATCATTACGTTTTTTCGATATCACTTCCCCATCCTTGTCACAATATTGGTCCCTTGATTTATGACGACTACGCTGTTTGTTGCATTCATTGTGGTCCTGCTCGCGGTCCCTCTCCTTTGAGCGATGCCTTGATTCTCTGTGTCTGTGATCACTGCTCCCATGGGACTCGTCTCTGTGATTATGATCCCTGTGAGAATCATAGTGGTCACCGTGGTCATGTGAGTAGTCCTCCTTTGGCTCTACATAAGCTGAATCTCTGCTGTCTTGTGTTTCTGAGTCAAAAGTTTCTTGCCTGTGAAGGCCTCTACCACCACTGCGATGGTTGTGGTGTTGGCTTGAGGAAGAGCGGTGCTGGGATTTCTTGATGGGTTCAACTCTTGCTTCCTCTTCAATTTGTGAACCACTGCGTTCAGGGACCGAATGGTCATTCCTCTGGTCTCCTTGAGATCCCTGCTATCAGAACCAGCAGTAAGTTCATGTACATGAGGTACACACTGAAAAACTTTCTCCAATATCAAATTCAACTAGAAAGTACCATGAAACCAATAAAATTCGAGTACACAACAATCCACTTTGAATCTAAACTAGAAAAAAACCCATTAGAATTCAACTTTTACTGAAAATTCAGTATTATAATACAAACGATTCCTTTCACTCTCATCAGAATGGAGGGTGGCACTTGGGTTATTCTATGACACTTTCACGTCTCTTGTGATGTTTCCGACTATTCCAGTTAGCAGTAAGTGCCACCGCCCTCCAAACAAAAAGAGAGCATACGAAACAAGATAAACTGCAGAAAAATTAGAGAGGACATATCATGCCAGGAAAGGGCAGGTATCAGTCGAGAGTTTACAGATATCCGCTTGGAAACAGCCACTATGGGAAAGTGATTTTAGTGGGCTTAGGAGGTTGATTACACCGAAGAACCAAAGTACAAAACCTTGGCTCTTTTAGAAAAACTTATTTTTTTAGGAAAAAAAAAGCAATTGAATCTGGTATGAATAAAGTTTGTATTATGATACTAATAGTATCACTGACCTTTTGTTTTCTCAGCAATCATTTCATTTCTTCATGGTAATGAAAAATTAAACTTTGACCTTATAATTTTTAGAGCTTGAGAATATAGACCATTGCCAAGAAAAGCAGGAGGAGAGTGATATTATCACATACAGAATTTCCTAACACACAACTGCTATTAAAAGACTTAAATAAAAATTACCAGGTAATAAACCTACTCTTCACCCGCATAATGCTTTGAAATCACTGCAAAACGAACAAGTGACATTATTTAACTCATCTGGGGGTTTCATTACATTAACCAGCTTTTGTTGCCAAGCCACAGCCAAAGACTTCTCAAGCTTAATCGCAACAATTTTAAGAAATAGTTTATGTTGAAATTGAATTATCCTTTTCATAAAAGGTGAAGAATGTCAAGACAAAATCATCCCTGCTGGCACAAAATTAAAATAGGTTTTAACAGAGGCATTTGTTTGTGAGACTGCTCTGAATTTACCGAAGTTAGGCTAAAGTTTGCCCTTCTATATTCAGAGTTGTCTAAAAATAAGGATTGCCTCCAGAAAAGTTAATGAACATATCTTCCTTCTGTCTTCTGGAAAAGAGCTAGAAAATTTTGTCCTTCAGCCACAGATCCTGGAAGGTGGGTTTTCTAGGAACCCAAAAAGTAAAATGACAGGAAATTGGACAGGAAAAAAATCTGTATTTCATCAGAAACTTATAAAAAGCAACATATTTCAAATCAGCAATTTGATAAATTTGACCAATTTTAATTTTCTAAGAAAGCATTTTATTCTGTAAACTTTCCAGCAACTAGATGGCTTATTCCGTGTGTTCCTAATTTGAAAAAAATGGTATAGATGAGAGCAAGGTAACAGGAACAGCAATCAAATTTCTTGTTTTTTCTTGTTCTTATGATTCTCAAGATGATTCTGATTTGCCAGAAAGGAATGTAGTAATTGTAAACATGAATAGATGTGTTCAAAGTGAAATGAAGTGACTCAACAGAGGTGAACTGTAAATGAAATCAAGTGAAAAGTGAAAGAGTCCAAAGCAGTGCCTGTTTCAATGTGTAAACACAATTTTTATCAGTTCATCACCATGACTGTTTTTAAGGCACATAAATTTGGTATACATATGAAACCCTCTCATTCTCATATGGTCAAATGACACATATGTATTTACCTGTATATGATCAGGACTACTAAAAGCCATCATTGCTGTGGTTTGAGAGCAAATGCAAAATGTGAACCTGCTTTGAACACAGTGCTACTTTTACAAGCTCAGATGCATCTTTTCTGCTATGATGAGTACATGTGAAGGAACATAAGGAATGAATTTAGACAGTACCTGCAATTTCAAAATAGTGTAGGGCTGTTGGATTTTATGGGCAAATTCACTTGCCCATAAATGTTACAGGGACACTGAACAGGTAATGTTTGAATCTGGATTAGAGTCTGGCTTTGTGGTTCATAACCACATTAGGGCTCTGATTTGGATTAGATTCTGCTGTGCTGGAATTTTATGGCCCAGTCTCATAAGGCCTTTTGTCTAAAATGGAGAAAGTTTGAGATAAGCCTATTTCATTATTTGGGCTGTAATTTCAAAGTAGAGGTTCTTAGAAAGAAGTTTAAGGAGTGCTGAAAGAGGAGAGAGAAGTCTGTGTCCACCAAGTGAATTTGCCTTGTTCCCTATTTCCATGCAGTGGTCCCTGATCGCCTGCACCGTGTGTGTGTGAGGTTGCTCCAGTCTTTTTGGAATCAGTCAACAATTTCCACAAGAGTTTGCTGCAAAGCTCTCCATCAGGTGGACAGGAGGTGTATGGTCTTTGCTGATTTAATTTCAAACAGTCCCAGGAGGCCTCACACCTTCAAGCACCTCGTGCCATGCAACACAGTCAGGATCATTCTATAAAAACACGACTCTGGCAGCTGGCAACACAAATCTTTCTTTACAATGTACACCCAGGACTGAAAAATCACGAAAAACAAGTATGTTTCATGGCAAAGGGGCACTGCATTGGACTTGGGGGAGGATGACTCCAATGCTTTGCAGTGCAGATGTGGCTCCTCCAGGCTAAACAGCTGGTGGTTTGGCCTTTCCCAGCAGAGCAGTCCACAAAAACAGCACAGACAGAGACTTCAAATTCTCTAAATAGAGGATCTTAACACTGTTGAGAGAATGGGTTATGCCACCATGATAAGGAAATAAAACCATTCTGTGCCAAGACAGTGACTGGCTCAGGTTTTAGATGTCAGCTGAAGATGTATCATAGGAAAATGAAACCAAAACAATGTAAAAGTTCTGTGTTCCATAAGGCACCCCTGTTGATTCACACTTCTGTATTAGTAGACCTACAAACAAACTGTGACACTGCAAATACACTCTCATTTTTAGTCCTTAAAATAAAAATGTTAGTTTGTAAGGAGATAGCACAACATTCAGAAAAGTGTTATTAAAACTCTTGTAATAGTTCCTCCAGAGAACGTGGTTAATAAAATGAGTAAGTGAACTATGAATCCACATCCAAAAGGCATAAAAAAACTTGAGCAAAATAATTAAAAAGTTTACAAAGCAAAAAAAAAGTTTATCTAGCAAGCCTGCACACAATAAAACTGAATTTCATACTCAGAAATTCTTCCAGCTCACAATTTTTTCAGGGTGTTTCAGCTCTGAGGACAGAAAAAAAGGCAGAAATGAACTATAGCTTACAGTCTCTTTTCCTAAAACTGCTTTTGAAAGCAAGAGAAGGAGATACCCTTCAAGGTGGCTAGAGAAATTTTTCTTGTTAAAGAACAAACCCGTAAAGTCTATGGTTTTCTAATGGGAAATTCTTTGACACAAAAAATGATTTTGCAAGACCATAACAAAAAACCCCACCATTTTTTTTGTATTTTAATTGGGGTGCAGATACATTTTTTTTCTTTGATTTTCTAAAAGGAGGCTTTTTTCTTAGCCAAAGTTATGAATTGCAACTTGCATATGTATGTAATTTATGGGCATATATGGAACTCAGGTAGAAATTTAGATGTATTTAGCCATTATTTTATCTGGGACAGATGTATTATAACCCCCACTGTGATCTTCTCAGCCTCAAGGCAACACTCACTATTTAAGTATCATCTTTAAAGACCTCATTTTATGCCATGCAACAAATATACAAATGAAAGCATCTCCTTATGCTGAGCACCTTAATATAATTACACAAACAAAAAGTTGAAGGAGAATAGAGGGGACATAATATGCCCATATCAGTGGGCACATCAGTGTAGAGGTGGGAATAATGTCTATTTTTCCCAGCTCGCTAGACAGCGTCCTCCCTGTTCAGAACATATTGCCTTTCAAGGTCTTTCTGCACAACATGTGCAGCAGGACTCAAGTTTTATGTCAGAGTTTGGCTTGAAGGAAATATGTACTTTTCACAGCAGTGGCCAGTGAATAAAAGAACAAAGGAAACACTAGAAGGGCCACTTTGACCTTGAGACTTTACCAATAGAGTCAGTCATTCTCAGCCTCTACAACTCTATAGCCTATGGGAAGACTGGAACAGATTTCCCTCCAAAATTTGTGGATCTGCTCTGTACATAACCCAATTTGTCATGTAGGGTCTCTGGGGCTGGGATTTGCCTATTAGCAATAGTCTGTCCATCAGTCAGAGAGTTACCAGAGGCTGTAATGTGCATAGTATTAGCCCATTTTTATTTCTCTGACTGGATTACATATGACCAGCTACAAAAATGCTTGTGGCTGGTACAAATATTACTGGCACAGTGGTGTCCTGGGCACAATAAAACCTGAAGTATTCCACTTCACATCAACATATGTTTTCAGTCAGGCTGGCTAAGTCCTTGAAATCAAAACCAGCCCCCTGGTCAGTACACAAACACATGCTACTATGAATACAATAGTAATAACAATAGCATGCTTGTGTTTGCCTTTTATACTGAAAATGGTTGAATGTTCACTGAAAAAGCTCTTACTCTATCAACAACAGTGAAACATATCCAGCATATTCTAGTATCAGCCTATCACTGTGCTTTGGAAGAGGAAGAAGTTGACAGAAAAAAAAAAAGAAGAGAGAGTATAAAAACTGTACCTGTAAATTAATATTTGGACCTGGGCTAATAGGAAGAGTGGCTGTTGCAAGTGTGCGAGTGAGAAGCTGGTTAGGAGGATTGCTGCTAGGTGGATGTGTAGCCTTCCAGTAGGCTTCCAGATAGTCAGCAAGGTGTTCACAAGCATCTTCAAGCTGGTTCTCATCAAGAATTACATCGAACATTTCCTGATAAAGGAGAGGTTATAGTGAGAATAATCACCAGCTAAAGGGACATCAGCTAGAGACATTGACCACACTTTCCATTCATCAAAAATGAACCACATTTCTAGTACTGTATTAAGATATTTTACCTTTTTTGTTTGGTTTTGTTGTTGTTGTTGTTTGTTTTTTGTTTTTCTGAATGCAATTGATACAAAAGACAGCAATCATAACTAGCAATAATGTTGCCAAAACAAGTCCTCATGACTTCCACTTAGTAATGCACAAACAGTCAATGAAGACATGAAGAAGCAGCTTGAACAAATCTTAAAACTCAAATATACAGAAAGAAGTGTTAAATATTGAAGAATTTAGCTATAGGAAAAAAATGAAACGGCAAGAAAAGGGATCACTCCCTATATCTAGAATAACTAAGAGAACACTAAGACAAACTAAGACCAATAACTAACAACAGTAAGAAACACAAGTAATACAGATACTTCAGTTTCCAAGTGTTGTACAAATACTAGGCACATGGTCTAATTTTAGGCTTCTGAAGTTAGGAGGTGAGTTTCCTCTATTTCCTCCCTGGTCAGGGAGCCAGAAGGCTTCTTTGAGGGCCTGTGCAGGTCTCTGTGAAGGTCACTGAACTGAACCTTCATTTTCTGGTCTCTTACCCATACTCTTGACAGCTGAGTATGCCGGTAGCAATGCATGTCATGTTTAAAAAACAGTTGGGGTCTCATCACCTCTGCTTTATGGTGGAAATTGAGAGAATTAACTTCAGTGCATATCACCAGAAGAACTGCAGAGCTCTCAGGTACCCCTCAGCTCTTTGCCAAAACTGTGACCAAGAACATCAACAGTAGTGGCCATGGTGATATATGCCCCAGGGGAGCTACTGAAAACATTGGTCTTATCCTAAACTACCAGAGATAAAGCATAGTCACTGAGAGGGTTCAATTTTAGGCCAAAAACACCCTAAAATTGTCAAGTAAAACAAACATTCAGTTTATTGAAGCATGAATGTATCAGCACACATCCTAATAACTGCTTGTGACTAGGACTTTTTTTCTCCCCTGCACCCTTGTGATGAGCCTGGAGCCCTCAGGAGGCATTCTGCAAAAAAGCAATAGTGAAGAATGGCCAGAAGAGGGCAAACATTCCTGAAAATTATGTAATAAACCTTGTGCTTGAAAAGAAAGGCACCTTTCAAAGACAAGACATAAATTAACAGTAACTCACGGGAGGACACTGTGCCAGTTTATCAGCTGCCACCATCTGAACATTAAGGTGTTTGGCCTGAGATTTCCCTCGAGATTTTATCAACCTCTGTAAAACCTGTGAAAAGTAAGACATTAATGAAAGTGACCAAGTTCAGACTTCATGTACATATATAACCACTTAAAATGTTTACATTTTAAACTGCTCACTTGAGCAGAGCAAAATCTTAATTTGCTGGCTTCAGGAACATTTCCCATGCTCTTTAATCCAGAATGAGCTAATTTTCATTAACTTCCAGACATCTTTTTGTTACAGTCACTAAAAGGTCCCCCTCCTACTTTGCTCTGCTGCTTCTATTTTTTTTTTCTAAGTTGAATTTTTTTAAATGATCTCCTGAGTTCTCTTCCCACAAATTCATTCTTTTCTTTCAAATGCCTCTTCGCAAGGTCTGTGCATGGTTTTTTCAAGGAATGAAAGATGTTACAGTTTAGCAATCCTGTGAAAATGTTTCTTTCATTTCTGTATTATTTTGATTCAACAAATCATTAGCATTACTTAACTAAAAGTGCAATCTCAATTAAAAAGCCCATTGGAGCTACAGCATCTTTTCCAAAATGGATCTTGGTAACACTAGATCTGAGATACCTTTTTGATTAGTAATACTTCACCATCCAAAGAGAAGCAATAACAATATGTAGCCTCTGAACTTGAGTGAAGACACGTGATTATCTGAACTTAAGACCAAAAAATAAAATTAAAAAAATACTGAAAGAGCATGAAAGTGACTACAATACTTACTTTAGGAGAAGAAATCTTTACATATACAATAATGGGAGCCAGAGAGGTTTTGCTTAGCTGAGCTGGGTGGTTAATGGTATCAGCGTCAAGCACTACTAACTGCAGTGTCCTCGCTAATTCAAAAATCCGTTCAATTTCACTTTGAACTTCAGCTGCAGAGAAATAGAAAATTAGAGTTACAAAAATACTAAGAGGTGATTAGTTTGAAGAAATGTAAAAATGTTGTAAACTGGTGTGTTGCTCCTCCTCTGCTTGCAGGAGTTGTTATCTGTGCATGTCCCTGGCCCACTACAGCAATGAATGCAACATTAATGAGAGCATTTCATCCCTGGTTTGCTGCCTGGCAGGCAGCACAGCGGGCCTCTTTCACCTCACCGATTCCTGCCATTCCAGACTGGAGAGATACTGTTAGTGCCTTCTTACAAAACCTCGGACCATGTATGTAAGAAAAAAAGAGGTATGAATGCCTGCTGTATCAAACAGTAATCTTACTATGTCACAAATTTCCTACATGTAAATAATTTCAGTTCAGACTTTAATCTTATGCAGTAACGAGTTCGCTCAAACTGGAGTGCCTGAGATAGGCATTAGGAAGTACTGAAGTGCCTATATTAGCAGAAACTCATGTTTTTCCATTTACTTCAACTTATCAAAGCTCTGGAAAACAGTTTCCTTCATATAGTAGCCTCAGTAAAAATTTTGATTATTATGTGTAAAACACTTTTTCAGGAGAAATAACTCAATAATCCAAATAATGCTATGGTGTCTTCCTCACAACCCCAGAAGATCTGGAAAGGTGATTTTCCCAGAGAAAAATCTTCTCTTCTTCTGGTAGTCATGCTCTCAGCTCCTCAGCACCCTGTCTGATTGGCAGTACTTTTCAGGACAAACCTCTCCAAGACAGATGGGCTGCATCCACTTTCACAAGTGGTGTAGAAACTGTCTTCATTCCCCAATGAAACAAAACTGAATCTTGTAATAGCAAAATCATCCTTGAAATGGAATCACATTTTCCTGCTCAAATTTTGCTATAGGCTGAGAAATTACAGAAGCTGGGTGATTTGTGCAAGTCTGCAAAGAAAGTCATCAGGTAGACAAGGCAGTAATTCATAAAGGTTTCCCTTTAAAGGTCGTGCACGCTTCATGAACCAAAATCAGATTAGATATCTTGCCCATTCAAGGTAAATATTAGAAGACAACCAACAGAAACTTAAAGGTCAATAAGAGATACCAAAAACTTAATAGAGAGTTTCTTGAAATTACACTATCAGCCTTTTATCCATTGTACTGGCAAAAGCTTTACTTTTGCTTGGAAACACAATCTATGTGATTAGAGAGGGTCTCTTTCAAGACATGTGAAGAGATCGATTTTTGATATCTTAGAATAGCAACTGAATAAATCAGGTACCATAATAAGGCTGCAAAATTTCCAAGAGAGAGCAAGGCATCCCAGCTAGTTTAGCTCAGTGTTTTGGTTCCAGATCAATAGGTGATTGCTATGGTCATTTTATAAATGAAGTAACCTCTAAATGGTCACCAGAAAAATCTATATATGATATCCTTCATTGGAGGAGGTTGACACTGTTTTGGATCTATTAGAGGTCACTTCCAAATGTTTGTAGTTATCTCCAGTTTTAGGTGAGTACATGCCAATCAGTCATTTACAACAGCAAACATCGTGAGGTGTGCATGGCATATGGAAAGCATTAGTGCATGCTTTTCTGCTGGTCACTGGAAACACTGTGGCCCAGCTGCATCTAAATTAGGACCACATTTTTTAAGGGAGAACTGATGGTTCTTGGCACATTCATGATTACATTTTCTGCAACTTTGCTGTGTAGAAATACTGCTGAAGTCACTGAACACTGTTGTCTCAGAGTTTTGGTAGAAGACAGTCAATAATCTATGCCTAATTTAAGTCCAAATGACAACTAGAATAAACATATCAGAGATAACTTGTCATGCTGTTCTGATGACAAGTTTGGATTCCTTTCCTGCAATTTCAAACCAGGCTCAACACTTCAGTCAGTATAACAATATCAGTTAATGTATCATTTTAAGACCATTCCAGACTGCTAAAAAACCCTTGTTCAAGACAATTTATAACCAGCAAAATCTGCCTCTATGCCATTGTATCATAATTTTTTCTGGGATAGCAGTATTTGCTACACTGCTGGAAGCACTTTTCTGCCACTATAGAACACATCTCTGTGGACTAGATTTCCTGATTTACTTTTTGAATCACCCTTTGCCAGAGCAGGCCCTCAGGATATGTTCTATTGTGAAATATACCCAGGGCAATAACTGCAGGTAACTATGGCTCTGTGAACCAATAGTTTCCACTTGACTCTGAAGATGGAGAGATATCTTTTTCATCGACTAAAAAGTATTTCAGTACTTATTTTTCTAAACTTGAATGTAGGAGAGAAGGTCAAGGAACTACACTGCGTGATTGGTGAACTGATATATGTGCCTCTATTCTCCACTCAAGAATGGATGGGAAAAATGCCAGAGACTGATGAAGAGGTCCCTATCTCCTCTTCCTTAGAGCACTTCTTCAGCATCTGGAAAAACTTTCATTTCACTTGAAATCTTCTTTGAATTCTAGTTTTACACATAAGATTGTGCCAATTACTTACATAATAGTAGCTTCTCTTTTTAGATGACAAAGACTTTATCTACTGCTATAGCTTTGGTTTTCATCTTTCTTTAGTAACATCTCTCAAAAACCTAATTCTATACCCATAGATTCCTTCACAACAAGACACTCAGCACAGATCTTCTCTCAGACGTTTGCCCAAAGTAAGCAAAGAACTCGAAATGTCATCTGGGGATAGTAACACAAATGTCACTGATAGTTAAAATAGGGAGCTGAGAACAGTGACAGAGGGGTATCTTCAAAGCAGCACAGCAATAGCTTTGCAATCTTCCCACCTCCATGAATACTGTCTATTTAGAATAATGTCCCTTCTTATGTACTGGAGAGGCATAACTGGAGTGAACTTATAACATTAAACGCCAATAAATTGTATTTGCAAATCATGAGAGGCATAAAAATAATTAGATCTACTATGACAACCATTGTGAAATGCTGGCAGCCCAGCTACAACACTCAAACCCAGAAATTAGCTATCAAATTTTGAAGTCACCCTTACAATCTATTTCATATGGCCTCCTTAGTAACCAGAAAGCAAACATATTTTAAATGACAGGAGCATGTAACTAATTATCCCATACAACTCTAAGAAACAGTAAGTACACATCTCCCAGACATCTTTAAATATAGCACATTTAAACTTATTTCCAAATATTAATTCTCAATATCCTTACTGCACCTTGAAATGAAATTCAGTACAATGAGAGCACTAGTAAAGGGCTTATCCCATTATGGGGGCAGACAAATATTCTTTACACCAGGTGGACCTTACAAGTGAATTTCAAGCAAAAGTCTTTAACAGTTCATTACAATAATCTCACCTGAAGTAAAGGCAAAGACACAACAACACTGCATTTTATCTATGTCAATTCACTAATAACATGGTGAACTATGGTGGAATTTAGAGTCACTTATATAATGCCATGGTAAAAGAACATTCTCTATGCTCCACAGTTGGAGAAACACAACCCTCCTTTAGACTTGGGCTGAAAGCATCCATAGCAGCCAGGAGTCACTGGGACACTCAGCTTGACAGTGCAGTGGCTATGTCAGCACTTTGTTTTAGGAAGACTCTGGAAGTTTCATGGCAGGGACGAGACACAAAATGGACATGCAAAGGCCAAATTAGAACCACAAAATATTGCTTAATAGCAGCAAAGAGACTTTGGTCTTCGCAAGGAGCAGTGAGGTTCACAAACTGTCAACTGTGCACAGTATGACTTTTATATCCTATTTAATTTGACCTTGGCTACTGTCTATGGTATCAGTGGCTCTGTTTTGTTCATAGAAACAGATATGTAAATTATTGCTTGGATATGTAAATTGTTGCTTGGATTGCAACAGCTACAGAGACAAAGCATTCTAGTTTTTTAAACGGGGCTCCTGATACTACAAACATACGGCATGAAAAGAACTCACCTAAGTCAATCTATGCCATATAAAATGATTAGCAGCACCTTGTACAAAGGGTTTTCAAATAATTTCGTAAATTAAGGAGAACAGCATCAGTTGCCATGATTTTTCTTATACTAAGTCTTTTATACAAACACAGTTGCTTGAAAATAACTAATTACTAAATTCCATGAATATAACTAGAATAATGAGAAGTTTAAGGCAACCTCTCAAATTCACAATCAAGGCAAAAGAAAGAAATGTGGTTTTTATTCCTTAAAAGCATGTAGATTGTCTTGCACCAAAAAAAAAAAAAAAAATTGCTGAGAAATGAATAAAGGTCATACCTGAAATCCAAGAAAATGAAAATGAAAAAAAAAAAAGGAAGCGATAACTACTGAGCTGGGCCCACACAAGTCTCAATTAAGAAGAAAATCATGAGCTTGACTGACAGAATTAAAATTTTAATTTTTGAACGTGTGTGTATACACGGTTATATTGAGTGAAAAATCACAAGAGTGTCTACATTACATATTGCTGTAAACCAGAATGCAGGTACCTGGCCACAGCAGGCTACCCTGGACTGCACTAGATATTTGTGCTCACTGTAAAAATCACAAGAGTGTCTACATTAGGTATTGCTGTAAACCAGAATGCAGGTACCTGGCCACAGCAGGCTACCCTGGACTGCACTAGATATTTGTGCTCACTTTATACAAAGCGAGGAGGCCAAGAAGCTACGAAGGGTAATCCAGTAAACTACACAGTGTTTGAGCAGATCAGAGCAAGCTAATAAGAAACCCCACACGTACATAAGTGTTTGGCCTCTTCCTGCTCATCTTCCTCTTTCCTCCCCTCAAGCACCATGCTGCTCTGGGCAGGCAGGGAGCTAACAGAGGGATCATACTGGGTAGGGGACAGAGGGTTTCTTTCCTTCCCCAGCCAGGGAGGTTCAGTCCCGCAGTCTCCAGGCAGGACTGTGTGTCCCACTCCACATTGTGGGGGCGTCCCAGTGCTGGGGAGCAGAAAGCTGCAGCCTACGCTGCAGTGTACCCAGCTAAGAAGGAAAAAGTCTTGGAAAACAAGCAAGTAAGAGAGAATAAATGCTTCAGCTTAGTCCTCAGGCAATTTGACAAAAGATACCTGGATTACAGGTGTTTTAATCAAAGTTCTAACACAAATGTAGTTTAGTGAATATGCTTTCATTTCCCTGATCTCCACCAAATACCTTAGCCACTAGCTTGCTATGTAAAAAGTGGAAGGTGGAAGTGGGAGGATGACAATATTTTCCAGGAAAAGTGGCTGCATGTGTTACTCATGCCTAACAGATGGGGCTCCTGCAAGGGATAAGGCAGAAAGGAGAGAAGCATGTCTGCTGCTCTGCTTGGCACTCCCGTCTGGGCTCTGCTGAAGGGGAGATGTGGGGTGAGGTGCTGCAGGAAAACAGGGTTTTCCTCTTCTTGCCTGCTGAGGCTCAGTTTAGGCAGAATTCAGATGGCTTTTAATGCACACACATGTCCAAGTGGTATTGACAGATACAATGCCATGTTTGGGAACTTCAGCATAACCAACATCTATTTATAATGAACTAACATCTCCTGAAATGTAATACTATAATTATGTGAAAATATAAAACAGATAGTGTCATTTAAAAATGCTAAATAGCACATAAAAATATCTACATCCTCCCCTATTTCTCTGGGCTAGCAAAACAATAGCATTCATGGAACAATGCTTCTTATGCCAAGTTTAAACTGGAAGTAAATTTTAATGGCCTATGACTGGAAAAGATTGAAATCAGCAGATTGCAGCTGAAATAAGTGGTTGAGCACTGCACAGGGGAGAGCTGCACTGAGATGGAGATGACTGTGCCAGGCAAAAGTGGAGCAGCTCCAGAAGGTGCCATGCAGTACCATAGCGCGGCTCCCATCATTAGGCTTCCCTACACTCTGTTAAGGAGTAATTGGGATAGTAAAACTGGGCAAAGAAGTAGTCTAAAATTTATATTGCCCAGGGGACCAAGCAAGTCTCTCTGCCCAGTTCAGAAGGGATATCATCACATCAGGCTGGCACTAACTTGGGTATTTTTGTACCGTGCCTCATTACTCAGTGCAGTGCTACAGACTTTTACAGCTCTGGTACATACATAGGCACTAAGTAAGTGTTCCCTAGGTCTGTTGTTTTTTTACAGAACAAACATAAATAAAAATGTTCAACATTTCTCACAGATAGAATATGGAACTACTTTATCACTGGCTATTCAACCCCTCCTGCTGATGGTGTGCCACTCGCAAAACATTTGCGTATTCACTGAGTGGGAGAGATACTGACTCTGCAGCCTGATGCTTAGAGTGGGAGGCAAAACACATGGATTCCAGTTCCTTCTCCAGGGAAAGTTTAATTATTATGCAAAGTGCGTACGACTCAGTAGGACCAACCAACAACCATCCTAAAGGTGATCATAGCCCTGTCATGGGGATGGAAATTACGAGTTCATACCAGAGAACAGGAGTGAACCCAGACTTCTTTGCATTCTGGTTAAACAACTCAGGCCCATAATCTTGGATAAAATGAGGATAGAGACACCAACTTTTAATCAGTTGGTGAGCCCAGAAGAAAGAAAAAAACCCTGTATCCATTTAGCCTACAGTGTGAATAGTTTTAAGGCATGCAGATTGTACTCTGCTTTTAAGCAAACAGCTAACTGGCTAAAAATATTGGTTTTCATATTGATATCTGTAACCTTAAAAATTATTCTAATACATTGCTATATTCCTTTGTCTCTAGCATGTTTTGTTTCAATATAATTACCAATTACACATATTTCTGTGAAGTATTATGATAAAATATAGGAACATGTTGCTGGGAGTTATCTCTAATTTACAGAAATTAAGATTTTTTCCACCCATATATCATGGGATCATAGAATCAGCCGGGTTGGAAAGGACCTCTGAGATCAAGTCTAACCCTTGATCCATTGAAAACACTCAGGAAATTTCATTAAAATACTTTGTCAATACTGTATCAAAAACTTATTTGCAAGTTATAATATTGGAAAGTTAGGACCAAACTTCTAATCCAGAACTACCTAAAGAATTCATTAAGGAAACTCTGACCTTATATGTTAAGAAAATCTTGGCTGGCCTAGCAGGATAAAAAAGCATTTTGGGACATGTGAGACTGATAAATTATAACCGGTTCAGGAACTTCATGCTACTCTTTCCCCATTTGTGTGCAAACAGAAGTGTAGCTACATCCTCATGAAAACCCCAAACCTCTTATCTGCTATATTAATTACAGCATTCCGGTATAAGGCAGGTTTAGGTTTAACAGATTAAAATATCTGAAGATTTAATGCCTGGAAATGAGAGTTATGGACATTTGTCCCAGCTACCTTGAAGATAAAATTAAAAAAGGAACAATCAGGATTTTCCACAACACACTGAACACCTTTTCTATTTTCTTTAACTATATTAGATCCTGGAACACACTCTTGGTTAAATCCCAGTTTTGCATTCCTGTTTCCTGGCCTCTGGAAGTAAGGAGGGATTTTTATAAGGCCTAGCTAGCACTCTTTTAAGTTTATCTTTGATTTATAGTTGGAGAAGCATTTACTTCAAACAACTGTCATTAAATTACCAAACATGGAGAAGACATAATAACATTTCATATATGGATATAATATATAGTGTGTATTCATACATATATATAAAAACAAAACAAATAAATTGTTACCATATTTTCAAGCATTCAACTGGCTTTTTACACAAATATCAAGAAAAAAAAAATATGAGGCTGAAATTTGCACAGGTAATCCACTACTATTTCTTCAAGCATTTATATTTCATTTTCAGAAGACAAAACTTTGGAATATCAACCTAATGATGTAAATGGGAGCTCTATACGTTTTCTATAGACAACTTTCCAAAGGTTGGCACTCAATTGCACATGCAAACTGTATGTAATTGCACATGTAATGCCTGACAGGTTATTGCATGTGCACAGAGAAAGCAAATAAACAGATTCCCAGGCATGTGACCGCAATTGATTTAACACATACACGATGACATATTTTACATCAACATTCATACATCTGTGTCAGAATATGCAGATTAGGTGCACATACCTTAGAAGTATACAGTAGAATACCTAATCTTTAGCGTTTACTTGTCAATGTCAACTCTGTTTTTAGAATTACTTGAAAATAAATAAGGAAAACCAGCAAGGTTTTTTAAAAGAAAGACTTAGCAACACAGTACAGGATCAGCTTTTGTCTATCCGTGAGCCAGATGCAAGAAACACACGGTGGTTCTGTGAGGTACAATAAAGCACTGAACACAAAACAGCAGGAAAAGTAATTTGCAAGCTTGTATACATACCTAAAACATCTGGAAAAGGAGAGCATTAATGAAGCAAAGAATGGAAAAAGCCAAGACAATCAGGTTTTGTACGAAGCATACAGCATGAGGTAAGGTTATAACAAGTGTAACATACACAGAAAAAGGCTTGGGTTCTTTTGACAAAGAAATGCAGCAAAAGCACAAAGCTGGTTCAGCAGTTTCTGCAAATGGCATGTATCCATATAAAAATTTAACTAAGCCAACTGGGGCTGATTTTCAGTTGAATGAGATTTAACCATGTACTGTACCTTGTTGGAGAAAAAAATTCTGTTCAAAATGACAGATTTCTTCCAGGCTTTTAAAGAAATTAATCATTTGCCCTTTCCTTAAATTTAGTTCTAGCATCTCACATGTTAAACATGTATTGACAAGCAAACATTTCTCTTTATATACAAAACAATCTTTCACATAGGAGAGGAATAAGACTGTACTGTCCTCCTAAATCTTTACAAGTCAAACACTATTTTTTAAAAATTCTTGATAACATTAATTTTGTACTAGATATGCAGTGGTAGCATTGGTTTCCAATGATTCAAATCCCAAGTCTATTTTTAACTGATTCCATTACAAAAGCAAACTGTCAGTCGATAGGTGTATGTAGCATTAAGCTGATTGAGACTACCCTATAATCCTGTATATCCAGTTCCTCGTGGCTATTCCTACTCCTGGTTATCACATTGTTTGTCTCTGCCTCTTTGAAATTAATTCTGGGTTATCTATTAAATCAGTTCCAAATAATAGTGCTCACTTCACTGTTTTCTGTGCTATCTACAATTATGAACAATATACACAATATCACAGATCTACATTGGGTGATAAGGTAACAGTTCTCAAAAAGAGGTTTACTTATTTCTCAGAAAAAAAGTATTTGGTATTAATATATCAAGCACATTACCTTTGTAACATATTAAGTAATTGACAGAACACTTATTAAAATAATACTTAAAACCCAATAATATATTTTCAAAAGTCTAAGAAATAGCCTTCTCTGCTGCAGTTAAACTGCTGGTCACAAATGTGAGCATAAGTGAGGGATAAATCAGTGGCCTGGCTGTCTAGCTGCGTGAGGTACCACTTCACAAAGGCGGGTGAGTAAAGGAATAGTTTCCCATCGAATCTAGAAGGAGGGAGGGATTAGGATTAACATAAAGCAGTTCTGGGGAGCTGTATTTGCTATAATAAACAGTCACTGAAAAGAAGCCATTGAGTAATTTAATTTCTCTTCATTGTCAAATATGTGTTTCAGATCTCATTTAGAACACATGGTTCTAATCTTTCTCTGAAAAGAGAATGAATAAACTATGGGCTACTTTATGGAACTTACTGTGGTGGTACTTCATTGACACAATAAAACAATTTTTCACTTTGAAACATCCTGGTTAGGTGAGAAGCTGGAATTATTCATATTTTCCAGATAGAAAACTGAATTACAAAGAATAATCAGAGGTTATGAATAATTTGGGGGGACTCCATTTCAGAAATGGAAATCCTGATTTCTGGGGATTCTTTTTTCCAAAATGGAACATAACCTTGAAGCTTCTTTTAGAAGCCAGTACTAAGACTCAGGACATTCCTGATGCTGCTTGGTACTGTCAGTACAGGATATCAGTACTGATCTGAGAGGAGGGAAGAATTCTTTGAGCTAGGCTTGGAATGACAAGAATACCTCCGAAGTTAAATGTCAGCAAAGAGAAGAGCCTAAAATAAGAGGATGTCTGGGGAATGAGAAGTCACAAGGCTGGTATTTCATAAGGTACCCAACAGGAGCTCCAGTAGTCCATAGGACTACCTGGTTTCCATCTGCCTTTTCCAACTCAATGTATTACCATGCAACATGCTGATTTTAATGGCATACCCTATTGTTGACAGGTTCAATGCTTGAATCTCTGTTTCAGCTACAATACTTAGTACTTCTAAAAAACATGCTTGAAGCATGCAGAAAACATGAGGGGAAAATAGCCATCTTTATAAAGTCTGTAAATAACTAGTCCAATACTATACAGCATTTCTGTATCAGAAGCAGCAAAAGCCACTATTGCACAGGGCTCTTCAGTTAATTCAGTAAAAAGGGAGTCTCCTTTTGCACCCTTCAGCACCGCACCTCATCTCTGACTTGGTAAGCCACGACAGCCAGTGACAGGATGGGAGTCAGCGTGGAGGAACCCAGCAGGAAGGGAAGGAGGGGGATGCTCCTTCCCTCTGTGCTTCCATCCTCTGCTGGGACCCACCCTGGCTTGAGGCACCGGCAGTCACCCCAGTACATGGCACACTCTGCACTGCCTTGGTGAGCTTTAAAGGCTGTCATCTCTGGCACTAAGCCTTCAGTGGTGTCAAGGGGCTACTTGCTGGCCCTGGGTGAGTGTGCCCGCTGCTGAGATTCAGAAGAGAGGCCCATGGCACACTGTGCTGCAGTGCTGTAGCTTGCAGGCCATCAGATATAGCAGATCTCCCTCCCACTGGGGTCATCCCATTTTTCAACAGAGAATTAACACCTGATGAACCACAGAGATAAACCAGTGCTCAGTACGCTTAAGACTGAAATTTAAATCCCTTTCCAAAACAGGAACATAAACTGAAAATGTCCTGTTGTGTTTTTAGAGAGTTTCATTCGCCTTCCTGATGTTTCTTGCCCCATACACTGTCAAAGTTAATATGGGGAAATAAGGGAAATAGCAATATACTGAAAAATTCCAATTCCCCACATTAGTTTGTATATTTTTTTCAAGAAAACTAAGGCAGAGGATTGGTGGAAAAGTAGTGTGCAAACACTTAAACAAAGACTGAATCACAGCATGTATGTATGGCCAGTCTTCGCAAGCAAAGATTTGGGAAAGGTCATTACCCTTCGAGCCTGCGCAGTGGATTTTTTAGGTGAGACACAGCGTGCGCTGAACTGAGCCCACCCTTTAATCCTGAGGTTCATCTGCCAGGGCCGAGTGAGCTTGGACAGTGGCAGTGAGGGTCTCAGGACGTAGGTTTGTTTAGAGTGACCTTCTCTTAGATGGATTGCCTTACAGGGCTGATGAGCTCCATCTGCCCGGGGGCTGGGAATCGAACCCGGGTCGCAGCGGTGAGAGTCCTGCACCCTAACCACTAGACCACCAGGGGCCCCTCGAACCCGGGTCGCAGCGGTGAGAGTCCTGCACCCTAACCACTAGACCACCAGGGGCCCCAAATCACAGCATACATAAACCTAAAGCTACTAAGAAGCTACACAATTAGCCTTCTTACTATCACTTCCTAACCTTTATTTTTCACAACTTGAATTTGTAAATTATTAAAAGAATAATATTCTTTTAATAGGATTTAATAGGATTTTTGGTTGGCTTACAGCAAATTCGTCACACAAACTAAAGAAAAAAAAAAATCCACTATATGGTGTGAAATTGCCACTCACCTCTTCTACTTCAGCCAACTAAATGCTCAAAGAAGAGGTATATTGTTGTCTTCCTTGTGAACCACTGCTAGGAGAGGCCACCTACCATCAGATTACAAAGACATTTTCTGAGTCTGCCTCTTATTTCTACCTTGAGGTACATTGCAGGTAAGGAAGGAAACAGGCTGTTACACTTCTTGTACTTTTTTAATTTTGCCTTGTGCAATGGTTTTCCCACTGTCTTACAAAAGCAGTTACCTTTTCTGACTCCAGCTTATTTTATTTTATCTCAGTTTTCCTCCCAACACACTGCTGCCACATCATTTCTCTGCCTGACTTGCTTCCTGGCTGGTTTTTGTCCTTCTGTGGTTTACGCCACGCCTTTAACAACTATCCCAACTCCTTCTCCATAACTCCAACCTTTTCCATAATGGATTTTCACTACTTGCCTTCCTCCCTGAGCCTGGTCAGCCACCTCTTCCTCCAGGCAAACATCTTCAAAGAAAATGTCTTTTTATTCCATATTCCATGCTGCACAGCAAAGTAGGGATTGCAACTTGAAAGATGAGCATCTTTCCACTTTAGTTCTGCTTGGCTGACCTGATTCAATCTGCTGGGAGCAGGTTCTGCTCAGCATCATTGCTGGACCTTGCCCAAGAAAGGCTGAGTCTTTAGGCAATTCAGACGCAAAGCCTGGCATGTGTTAATGGCAGCTTCTAACAATTTGGTAAAGTTTTCTTGTTATTTTCATAAAAAATGCCCACAAATATGTAAGTGAAATTTCATTCAATTCACTAGCAAATTTCAAAACCCTGCTAGTTTACTGGAACTACAGAAGTATTACAGCTTCTGAAAAAAAAAGGTTTTGAGAATATTTTAGCATAGGTAAAATTAATTTTTGCCCTAACTTCATGGTTAAAATGACTCAGTTGCTCTATCTAATATTTCCCAAGATACTTCAGAATTAGTTTGTAAATCAGTTAAGTTTTAGAACAGTTATAAGCAACTGAAGACCTGATATGTAGCAGGAAATCTTAATTAATAACAACAGGTCTGTTACAAAAACTAGAGAGATATATCTATCTATCCACATATTTACATATATACATAATTCCTGTCATCTTTGAGTCTCTCAAATTGAACTTCTGTCAGAACTTCCATTTTAAATACCTCTATCTAAAAAAGTACCTTGACACAAAGAAAAGATGTTGATGCTCTCAAGGGTAAGGTTCTACATGAGATGAAGGTGTACAAGATTGGGCAACATTTAATTTGTATAGAATTTTTTTTCCTGTATACATTTTTGTGATAGCTGTTTTACATATGTGAGAATATTTTAGCATGAGGAATAGATGATATGCTTTTTACCGCTGCATATATTTGTGCAGTATTGCAAAATTGCACACACTTTGATGATCAGGTTGGGAACTCAATCATGATGATTCTGTTCATTCCATGACTGGGTGACCTCCAACCTTATTACTGATTTTCAGTTCTATTCAAAACAAATGACACTTTATATTTTCAACAGATTATTAAACAGACTTTGGTTACAAGACTGAAATTCACATAAAAGAATATTTTTGTGTGTAAAGATATTAATTATGTTGTTACAGTACATTGCATTTTGCTATTTGAAAACACTTAAAATAAGACACACTTGGAAGCTATCAGACTACTTGCAAGCAAAAATCCAGACTCCACATAGCTGAGAGCAAAGGTTTTAAGAAGCAAATTTTCAAGAAAGGGAGGTCAAAGTTTTTAAGGCAGAGAAGCTTTTTCTAAGAAGGACAACTATAATAGGCAAGTGTTAAATATTCAGTCATGGCACAGGTGGAGTCAGAAATTTTTTTGTAATAAAACTGATAAAGAATCCACTTAATAGGATGAATGAAATTCCTTTCCTGTTCCACAAAATTTACAAGTTTTCAAGATACAATGCTGTGTTTAGGGGAAACCAAGCTCTCTCGAAGGGTACTAAGAGGAACCTGCAGCAAAGGCAGAAAGATGACTGGAGCATTCACCTGTGATCTAGCAAGTTCCTCCTTTTTTTTTGTATTTGACTGGGGACTTGAACAGGACTTTTTCGGGGACTTGTGTCCCATATCTCAGCTGGGTGCCCTAACACAAGTATGTGGACTCCTAGCAGAATTCATCTTAGAATCTTATATTCATAGAACAGTTTAGGTTGGAAGGAACCTTAAAGATAGATCATCTAGCTCCGACCTCACTACATGGGCAGAGAACCTTCCACTATACCTTCTAGCTAGCTCCAGGTGTCTCTACACAGGGAATGCACTAGTGGTAGCAGCACAGTCCTGGATATAAAAGATCTCACACTATAGGAAAGGCTAAGATCAGTCAGGAATTAAGACTCCGAAGTGTCCACCTTCTCCTCTTTGCTCTAAGGACACCTTATGATGACAAGCTCCAGTGGAGACACCTGTATTGCAGATGGTAACATTTAGTTACAACTTCCCAGCTAAGTTTGTTTTTTTTTTCTAGCTAATAAATGTTTAAATATTTATACAACTGGACAAGCTTCACTACAAAATGACTCATGTAAGATGACAGACGTGTATGCTATGAACTTAGCTATACAGTTTTTAAGAAACATTTAAAAAATATTTTAAAAACACTTTTCCATCCTTCTTTTTTTGTACCAACCTCAGGATTAGTTTAAACTGATACAAAATTCATAAAATGTGTCCCTCGATAACTTTTTTCAGGCCTCATATCAGTAGCTGTCATTACTAATAATCTTATTAACGATTATGCACAATATAAATAACATATAATAACATGTAATTCCAAGTATTTGAAAACTGTTACTTTTTTTCAAGTGGAAGAACATGTCTTCAGATTTTATATGGATGGTTACTTCTCCCCATCAAGGCAAACAGCAAAACATTGAGCATAAGCAGGATAAACGAAAATCAGGTCTTTATGAAGTTTGCATGGTAGTGATTTTAAAATGATTTCTAGTGGCAGGATTTCTGGATTATGGGAATTGTGATTTTCTCACAGCAGAGAGAAGGCTATTTTTAGCTTACTCATATGAATTGAGAGTCGTATACTTTACAGGCAATTTGCAGATAGCATCATTATAGGTACTTACCTAAGCTTGATCTCGTGTTGGATCGCTCTATTATCGCGTGCTTACTGGGATTGTTTAACACTGAGCGTTTGGCAAGCGAGATGTCTGCTGTGACTCGTGTAATTGATATACTGCAACAATAAAGACAGTAAGATAGCACAGAATGTTACTTATCTTTCGGGGATATGGGGAGAATTCTCATTTAACACTAGAAGATGGTTAAGACCATAGGAAAACTACTTCTTCTCAGAAGAACAGTATGCTTCCCATAATGGGAACAGAGAAAAAACTTTGTCTAACTAATACTGCTACAAGAACTATTGATAAGACATCATCCTTCTGTACAGTTCTGAAATGCAGTATGACCACTGCCTGCAAAGCTACACATGCCTGGGGAGAGGGGAAGCAGAAGGTCAGAGATGTGCTGCAGAAGATGGGACTTCCCTGGAGTGCCTGGGTCCGATGAGTCCGTGTAAAGTCTGACTTTGCACAACTATGCCCAGTATGAAAAGGCTGGTTTCTCTTTTCCCCAATTTCTTGAATGGTACTGAATGACAACCTGGCATATTTTAGCCATACGTATAAGACATATAGGGATTAAATGGTAAAGGTAAGTCTTAGCAGGGAAACTAATACATCAATATAATCTATTTATTTATTTAAATTTTATTGTTCAGTTTACTAGCATGTGTTTTTTAACAGAGTGTAAGAGTTACCTATGATTTTCCAGAAAGACCCAGCAATATGCTGGCCACCTAAAAATGGGAACTGTAACACAGAGAAACATGTACTTGAAAACTGGCATGCTCAGTTTTGTGTTTATGAGGAAAGATGGGCCAAGGAAGAAGTGGTTACTTTCAGTTTGCTACATAACCTTCTGCATATACTTCATCCTAGGAAAACAGTTACTTTGGTTTGTTTCACATTACAGGGTCAAAATACACTCTTAAGTTCCCTTTCAAATTCTGGTCTAATGAGGTTCAGAGGTCACATTTTTCCAGTGCTGAAAGTTAAATCAGACTGATGATATTCCCTTGTTCTTCCTTGTAGGATTTTACTTGCAATTGAAAAGGAGGAAATGGATTTGCTAAGAACAGGGAGGGCTCCTCTCTAGCAAGCACTGTCAGATGCTGTTTGTTCATAGGAAATGTAATCCAACAGGTCATTTCCCAGTGAGCTTAACATGTGTTAAGCTTATCTTAACTTATCTAAAACCCTAAAAAATGCAATAAAGCCAGAAGTTAATATGGAAAAGCAGAATTATTTGGACAATACAGATTAGTAATGTAATTTTGGAAATTTAGACATGATTTAACTTAAACTAAAAACATAACCAAAGATTGTGATTTCTGGTACAGCTCCTCACAGATAATGCCATTTGTCTTAAAAATAAATCAAACTCATATTGGGGTAGTCATCAGTTACCTTTATTTGTTAATGGATATACACTAGAAACTTCTACAACTTTTGGGGGTTTTGGTTTGATTTGGATTTTTTTCCTGCCAGTCTTCCCTCCTACATGTAATAGAAATTTTTTTGTCCTTTTTAAATGCAATTATGGTATATTGAACCAAGCCAGATTTAACAGTCTGTTTTTCTATCTATGAAAAATGCTGTTTTTCATTTTAACGTCTTTCTAAGGTCATTTTAATGTCTTTTGAGACACGTCTCACCAGAATGACCAAGTCTGCTCTCAAAACAAAGGATATGTATGTTCATATTGCGAAACAATTGCAATGAGAGCAGGGACAGCAGTGTGGCAGCTGAAAGCAGTAGTATGAATCTAAGAACCTCCTGTACAAATTTGTTCAGGACCTTGATTACCAGTTCAGATTGCTAATAAAGTTTGGGATGATTCAAATCTGCTATTGTATTCAGAGTATTTGAGGATTCACCCTGCCTCAATTAGATCTACAACTGAAAATCAGAAATTCTCTAAAATACCTAAAGACATAAAAACACAGTATTTTTTTTTTTGCTTGCAACAACCACTGTTTTGTTAACTTCCAGTCCTGAAGGTATGCGTTTAAGGTTTGATGACCCTGAATAATATAAAGAGGGATTTATAAATGGTTAGGTATCAACATCATTATTCTGACTGAGAAAATCCAACGGCTTAAACAACAATGATCTGCATTTTAAAGAGCTGAAGCTATTGACAAAAAACCTCAAGCTCCCTCTTCAGAGTTTTGACTGGACAGATAGAATAGTGTTACTGATCTGTCCACTTCCAAACTAAATGGAAAGTTACAGATATTATAACACTTTCCTGTTCTTTCAATTTCCCCCCCCCAATGTCAACCCATTAGCGCATATTAATCTGTAGCTTGATCCAGTCACAAAAATCATGTGGAGAATGCACCTGATGTCTCTGGTCCATGGGTCCGTGATGTTTGAGCTACAGATCATGCTACTGCTTTTAGAGGCAGATTATCATTTGACATCTGTACTACAGTAATGTCCGAGGGCTCAAACACAAATCTGAGTGGACCTTGCCTAGTCTGCTGCCACAGCGCTCAGATCAGAACCCAGCAAGTGCAGCTCATCTGATACCAAGGGTGACCATAGTTCAGCAAAGTGGGGGACTGCTTTACCCCTGCACCCTAGTCCTTCTGAAACTTCTCACTACAGAGCCCAGAAGTACTGTCAAACCAAGATCCTATCTTGAGGGATCAAATTTGGATTTGACAATCCCATATATTAGATAGTCAAAATCTCATAACACTCTTTCCAAGTTCGATGCCAAGTAAAGAATTAGAGCTGAGGAGAAATGGTGGCTCTTGTCATTTTGCTCAGAACCTGAGAAGCACTGATGAGGTATCACTTGAAAAATACTTAAAATAACTTTTTAACTTGTAGACAAATATCTAGCAATTTGGAGTGTGAATGTTGCAGTCATCAAGAAGGAAACATCCTTTTTTCCACTCAAATATACGCCCCTGAACACTTCCCACTGCCACACAACCTCTGCATGTTCTGCCAAGGAAACTTTCAATACACACTAGAGTCCACTTATCAAGGAATTAATTATCCATCATTCTTGATTTTCTACCATGTCATAATTTCTTAAAATCCTGGTAGTACCTAAACAGAACCTGAACTGAAGTATATTTGCATTGCCAAGTACTTACCGCCCTTCGAATCTATGTTTTAAAAAATCAAATAATGCTTTTTGCATCATATCTGTTACCTAGAAGCAAACAAACAAAAAATTAATAATCATACAGGAAATTCATAATACTTGATGCTAATAATATTATATAATAAAGCTGACAGTAAATCATATCTGAACAACAGGATCGGAATGCAATTTATTCTTCATCTCAATTCTGACATGAAGTAAAATACAAATAAGCAACTATTTACTAGGAGTAAAAACTGTCTAGATATTTGTCTATGATATAAAATATCAAACACAAATGAAGCACAGTATTTTGGCAAATAAAACATTCTCAACAATCAATTACCTCATATCCCTTCAGAGAAGGCCCCACTAAAACTACTGGTCGCATAGAAGGCACTACATCATAAGGAGGGATGTGCTCTGTCTGCAAAACAGATAAAGTTTTCAGTGTCACAGCACCTAGAGAAAGTTTATACACTGTTTATAACATGAGGAACTATGAATTTCCAGTGATGTCACCAACAAAGGAATCTCTTTTAATTAACTTTTCCCAAAAACTTGTAGTACAAGATAAGGACATAGGAGGTTCAGGGATTTGTTTTGAAAAAGCTTTTTTTGGACTTTAGGTTTTCCCACTGTTTTCACAATTGCTCTGCATAGTTACAAAACTCTTATTCTATGTTCCTTTGCACAATTCCTAACAGGTAAATTGAAAAGGTTATTTCCAACAACTAATGATTTGAAATGATTGACTCTAGAGATGTGACATCTGTTTCCCACAAAAATTTTATGTAGGAAAATGATGAAAGAGAAAAATAAAACAAATCGGGATGGAAAAAGCATAAAAAATCTCTTTTTTTAATGTTCAGATCTGCCCACTGCTTGACAAAACATTGTGACATCACTGCAAATTCCCACGGCAGCACTCATAATCTGACATCCACATTTGCATCCATGATTCAGTTGCAAAATGAAACCAAAATAATGACTGATTTAGTACTTCTAGAAAATTATCATAAACAGAGCTTGGGATAGCAATTCTTCCACTTTGGGAAGTTCCTGTCACTACCCAAGAATGGATTCTGTTAGTACAATATTTATCAAAGTACTTACTGATGTATCATGCACAATTTCTAAAACGTATTTTAAAATACAATAATAAAAAGATTACTTCCTTCCAAAGATTGCAAAGGTTTTATATTGTTATCACAATGCAATAGAAATTAATTAAACTGTTGGTTTGGGGTTTTTTTCTTTGTTAATAAATGGCTATTTCAACATATATCAATCACCAAGAATGGGTCTTATCAGAAAAATTTTTTGTTCATATGGGAAGTTTTGGTTTATCTTCGGGAAAACATGACTGAAATCCAAATCCAGAAACATTTGAGTGATATGGAAAAAGGAATGCTGGATCTATTTTTCTAATGCTTACATAGTACAAATACATCAGTCAAGATAACAGAATACAGACACTGTTCATTGTTCTAGTACTCAATGTATCCCAAGGTGTTTCACAATAACATTAAAATAAGTATATACATTCCAAAACACAAACCCACAAAGACAGACATTAGTACAGTGACAGCACACGGTGCTACACAAGCAGCAGTCTAAAGCAGTCTAAAACATAGAAAATATTTTTGTGAATGTTCTGTAACATAATTTATTTTGTTTTTTGTTACCTGTAGTTTCACCAAATAATTAGTAACATAAGAATGAATACCAGTGCCCAAGGCATCATAAGCATGTGAAATGGATTTATTTTACACAGCACAGAAACTGACTCAACACATTTCAAAGCAAACCCCTGCAATTAAGGTGTGCCAGTATCAAAATGCAATCCTCCACTCTTCTTGCTAATATTATTAATAATCTGGTAAGTGTATTAGAGACAGATTCAATGAAAAATTCTTTGCAGATATGCAAGTGCTTATAGAATGAGTGTCCCGATGCAACAGATCTTTGTCTTAATGTGACTAACTCAACTGAAGGCATACATGCTAGAAGTTAACCAGCTATTTGACAGTTAGGGCAGGCATAGAAATTACCTTATTTGATGGAATATGAATTATTCTTAAAATCTATTCTGTCAAAATGGGCATATTTCTTCTCTAATCTTTAAAACTTGAAATAATGAAGCCCTCAGCAGAAAATTGAGTAAGAGTTATCTAATGGAAGCATTAAAGTTCTTTAATTTAGCATTAGAGAATCTAATGTCAGTGAGCTATACAGTTTTCACTGCAGATTTAATTTCAAATATGAACTCATACTGAAAACCAGCAGTTTTGACACTATGGCTTTTGCTCAGTGGTTTGACTATGTAGATTAATTTGAAATGCCCATCCAGTACTTAATGTAAGTGTCAGTATCACAAACCTCGCTATATCCAGTAATGATTCTGATATGGAAGAAAAGAGGCACCACAGAGTAGAAGAAAGAGATGTGACTAACCACCGTCCAGGTCTAAGGTGGTTCATCTAGAAGATGAACCTTTGAAAGATGCTTATGCAGACAGCATCCAATACATGTCAACATGTATTATTCTTCCTTATCATTTTTTATGCGGTTATAAATATGATTAAGTAAGAAACTACTCAGAAACAAGAAACTATTGTTGATTTCCACACCAGGCATAACAGACCCTACTGAAGCCAATGGTCATGACTTTGGAAATGAGAAGGAATTAATAGTATTTAAAAGAGTTCAAGAAAAAAAAACACCAGAAACAAAGTTCTATTTACTAAACATGAAAGCATCCACAGCAGGGACAACAATGTCACTTGGCACTATTTATAGGCACTATAACAGTCTGTTATAACCTGTAGATTTAAATGGTTAAAAACAAGTGAGTAAGAGCTATGAAGTCTAAAGCTTCTAAAACAAAAAAAGGAGAAATATGGTATTTCACTGCATAGTTTGGCTGCTACCTAATGTCTTGCCAACTTATTCCAGCAAAGATCCTAGAAATGTATTGCAGCTTGTTGTAACACAATGTCAATTGCATAATTCTTTAGTTATCTGGGTTATCTATGGAGAGACATTGGCTCTTCTGGAAACGACCAGTGCCATTTCCAATAGTTGAGATACTAAAAAGGTCTGACTGATGGGTGACAAGAACATTTGGCCGATAATTTATACATGACAACAGGAAAAACTCAAAGTAAACTGTCAAAACAAGTCTGAGGTTTTCCACTGGTCTTGTGCACCTGCAGATTTTGCACTTAGTGAACTGGAAGCTTAAATATGGACTAAACTAAAAATACAACAATTTTTTATTCATTTTCTAAGTACAAACTGAGTATCTGATAGACTCCAATAATGATTTCAATAGACTGAGAAATAAAAAAAAATATAATTGAGAAAGATATAGAAAGACTGAACAGGCACTAGAGAGGTGAATTATATGGATTTTCTAGAAATAATTTTCTCAAACTTTCAGAAGGCCTTTCAAATGTGTTCTATTATTCCATCAAAAAGGATAAGTACTGTAGCAGAGTTTCACAGTTACACTGAACTCTTGCCTGTTTTCTTGTACTGAATCCACTAACAGCTCAATACATCTCTTCCTCCTTAATTCTAGAATAGCTGCATTGTTAATCTGGAGTAACAATGCTAATGATGCCAGTGGCAGGATAAACACAGGCAATGTCAATATAAACTTACCGATTTCTGCTTCTGCTTAGCTACAGCAGCATGGAAAAGAAACAAAGAACAACAAAGCATGCATGTTATTGGCTTGTCAAAGGACGCAGACAGTTAACAGGACTAGAAATGTGACGCAGTGCAGGTGAGCAGGTGGACAGATGGGAGCTTGGAAGTCGGTGTTACCTTCTTAAAGAAGGGCATTCTTTTCTCTTTGGAGTGGGGTGATGTTACACTGTTTGCACTGGGTTTGGGGGAGCGATGGTTTGCTGGAATATCATTTTCTTCTGCATCTAAGCCAGTGGCATCTATGTCTATAGCTACATACAGACAAACAATTCAGAATTATCAGATGACAGGGAAAGTAAAGATAGGTTAAAAAAGGAAATTACGGGTAAAGAGAAATAAAACTGTCCAGAGTAATAAATAAATAAAAACTAAAAATCAACCATGAGAACAAAACACAATAAAACAAAGGGAATAATTTAAAGGTGCAGGACATAAGGATTAGAAGACAGAAAGTGATCTGTAACAGCTATTGTAACATTTACAAAATAGACCAATGGCCAAGTTTGTTCTTCTTACACCAGTGTAAATCCAAAGTAGTTCACTGGAATAGATAAGACTTTCACCAATGTAAACAACAGAACTTGGTCAAAACATTTGGACTGTTTTATAGCAATGAACCCTAGTTCAAAATGGGCATCATCAACTGAAATTTGAAATGTCACTAGCATGTCTATAGGAAATGAAGAAACAGCAGAAAAATCACTTTTGCAGACAAAATCATTCTGATATTGGTACAATAATATCTACATTTATCACAGGGTGGACTACAATTGGCATTTTCAACCCCTTTAACTAAAAATGCATTGTATTCATAAGACATATTTATTAGGAATAATTAAATTTGATCTACTAATAGTGAAAACTAAAATGAATGGGCAGCAGAAGAGCAGAAATTTATCCCAGCTTGACTCAGGGACATGGATCCTGTTGTAAAGAGTGAGGATGTAGACAGGGCAAAATGGAAGCAAATACAACAAACCACTGCTGTTCAGCCTCTACCCCAAAAGAATATATGGCAAACAATACTTATAATGTAACTATGAATAGTTTACCCTCTTTAGCAAGTAAATAGTAACAGTTTCAATAAAAATCCTCACAGACTCAGTAATAAATATAGTATCAAGACGCAAAGCCACGTTATCCTGAATGCTGAGTCCAACAGATACCTGCCAACTACATGTAAAACAAAACAAAATGAAACAAAAGGTTTCTTGTTTACTATGATCAATTCTGATCTTAAGTAGTGATTTAAATTTGTCTTCAGAAAGCAGGTAGATGCACAAAAGTGAACCAGAAGTGTGCTGTACAACATCACTCTTGTGTGTGAAGATTTTACCCACCTTTTAACGCACTCGGGTAACACAGGTTTATCTTGCCATGCCATTATGTCAAACTGAATCTACCACTAAATAGATCTGTAAGCAGAATCGTTTGCATTGACTTTATCCAAACCCTTAATTAATCATTGCAAACTATTATGAAACCATCTTAGTGACCTGCTTTCATCTGCTTGATGAGTGGGATATCAACTAATACAGTGGCATGTGGTATTAAATTATGTAACAAATAAATATTCCTGTCAAGCCTACGTGCAGCTACTGATTTAAGAGACAACTGGAGCAGTGATTTCTTTTGTTTGCATAAAGTATATTTTCCCATTTGAATTATCCACATATCCCTAAGTCACTGTGCCGTTGAGCTCGCCCTTCCCAGGAAAGCCGGTGTGTAGATCCACATCCTGTTTCTACAATCCTGCTCCTAAAAACAGCCACAGAAGCCACGTAACATTTTCTTCTAGCAACACTGTTCCTTCATCCTCTTCATAAGTATAAAAAGAACATATTATCTTTTCTTGAATACAGGCCAGCACAGATGCTGTAAATCACTCATAATAAGGCATATTAAAACTCCTTCAGTATGTTCAACTAAAATTGTCAGTAAAGAGAAATCAGAGTTGTTAAGCTTTTCCTGTAAAAAAGAAACGCAGAACTTGATCAGCTAGATATCAATATCTCCTTTTCTCATTCTCACTCTTCACACTATGTACATTCTTCTGTGACAGTTCTTTTGCTGTTAATTATCTTTATTTCACTGTTTTTTCAAAAGTCATTTTCACCATTATGATCACTCAGTTTGGTGGCCTACAAGGACTGTATGAATTGATTACTATATCAATATAATATTGATTATTTAAATCAATATGAGCCTCCCTTTCATTTGTTTTTCACTGGGTCTTAGTCCTGTTTGCGGGTTTGATTTGATTTGGTTTTTTCTGTGGCACTATTTTATACTGAAAAAAACCATCCCTGACTCAAGGTTAAAAAATGGAATTAACTTGTTCAGTTAATATTCTTCAACTCATTAAATAAATTATGTGTTTGCAACTGTACTTTCAAAAAGAGGAGGTTTCGGAACGATAATTGAAATTGTACTTCAAAATCACTTGAGTTCTTGTGTTAGTCGCAAACTATGTCTCTTTCGCCTTTTTTAGGATGTCTTAAGATAAGCAAAAGAATATTGTAGACTCAAAATCTTATGATCACAGAATCAGCTAATGTGCACTATTCATATCAATCTTCCAAATCTTCAATGTAACTGAATAAATTTTACCAGATTTCCTTCTTTCTCCAGAAAACCATGATTTTGAAAACTACCACCTGAAGAAACAGCTCAATGCAATGAAAATTACAGGATGGCTAGCAGTCAGCTGGTGACATAGGTATGCTATCTGTTCTCTTACCTCTAAATTCTGGGCAACATTCTGGAAATATAAGTACTGATCTTCAAGTGGGTTTTGGATAGAAAACAATATTACAGCATTTCAGATGTTCTAACTATAAAATTACAATATAGGTCCAAAATAGATAATTTTACTAAAAAAATGCAATTGTTGAAAAAGTTGGCCTTAACAGTAAACATAACAATTTAAAGTCATCATAAAACGGAAGATTAAGGTGTAGTCTGCCCACTTGTGATGGACACACATTAATAAACTAAAAAAATATTTTCAAAAAAAAGAGAACTTAAGTGAAGCTGGAGTTTTGATAAACAAACTGCAATCATAATAAAGTTGGTTGTTATAAACAAATTCATGGTTTCACAAGACAGACAGAAATATTTTTCAATTCATTTAATCAAATGAAGCTACTAACATAACATAATTGAATTCCTCTGTCTCTGTTTTAATGTCCACGTTTATTCCCTAAAATCTTCAGCCTGATTTGAAGACACCTGCTCAGTAGGCCAGGCTATGTATAAATGAATATGATTGGAAAATACATCTTTGCCCCAGCAGACAAGTCACTAGTAACATTAATTAATATCTTCTGCTTTCAGGTATTCAAAATGTACATGCAAAGATAAAACATCCAGCAATGCAGCAGCTGAATTCAATAGAATTTTTTTTCTTTTGTAATCTGCTACGCTTTTTTCAAGGAGCTAATGCCATCTTTCTCCACGAACTCACCATGTATTTGCTTCATACCTCTTGAATCCAACCCACCTGAAGTTAAATCTATCTGTAGATGCTCTAAATGCAAAACAGTATTTGTGAAAAATTTGTCGAAGAAGGAAAAGAAATATCCAGTATCGTAGAATTATGTGACGAACATTCTCAGAATTGTGAAACCGAAAGTTCCTGATGTTTTAAAAGACTGTCTTTCTTGATGCTACTGCAGAAACCTTTCAAGAATTTTCATTTTTATTGCTGCTTTTTCTCCTGAACCAGAAGGTATTTATTGTTCAGCAGGAGTGCTTTAACTATCCTACTGTAATGTAGTCTCACCAATTTATTATGGTTTTGCTATAAAACTCCATGGTAGAAGCAAAGAGGGAATATTGTGCCTGTCACTGCCTGAACTTGCTGGCATTGACTCCATTACTTCAAGTCTACCCAAACCAGCCTTACATGGTAGTTCAACACTAAGGTTCTACCTATGAAGTATAGGGAATAGGAAAAATAGAACTAAATCTATATCAATTTTAACAGATTAGGTTGATTGGCCTGTAAGCCAAAGGGTTTACAACATACTCACCAGATGATGGAGGCGTCGATTTTCTGGAACTAGGAACGATGTCACCCAAACTGGATGAAGAGTTTCCTCCTGATTTACTGAAGTAAAGTAATAAATTAGTTTGAAGTTCTGTAGTTTCTCAATATTTATTCTAGTTTATTTATTACCTGCCTTCTAAATGAGGTGTTAGCTGTGAGACAAACAGCAGTTCTGGCAGTGGTATAAAATATACATCTCGCACAAAATGCACGTACTGAGGACTGAGGAAATGCAAACATCAATCATGCTCCTTGTGCTGCTGTGCAATTTATTTTGCTGCTCTCACTACTTCATGATCTTAATGTAATCCAGTTATTAATATCGCTACTGGTATATAATTATTACTATTATAATCCATTACTAAGACTAATTCTTAAGCCAGTAAGCATATCTGTTTCCTTTGACTGAAGAGTTATTGATAAATCCCTAATGAAGATGTGACTGTGTTTGTCTACCTTTTTTCAATTTAATTGAAGTACAAATTCTTTCTGCTTTCTCAATACAAGATAGCACCTAGGAAAAAAAAGTCTCTCAAAGTTAAAGCAGTCTAGGGTTTTGTCATGTTCCTCTTTGTGAAAACCTACTCAAGTTATGAAAATCAAACAATACTTTTAGTCATTTATTTCAGTTACCATAATGAGAAAAGCCCTGAAAAGTATGTAAGGAAGCCTACTTCACTCTTCAAATAATTCATGTGATAGTACTAGTTTCCACTTTCTCTATTTTAAAATATTAATAAGCATTAAGTTAATGCCTTTGTGGTGTAGGACAATGTTATCTTCGGTGAGAAGTTCTGGAGAATTTGGAAAGGGACCAAATCACTGGGACAGATCTGGGTGTATCACAAGTGTCCCAAGAGGAATAAGGAACCCAGCATCCTTCTGCTGAGGACAGCACGCGCATGGGAAAGGCATTTCACAGCTGGCAAATGCAGCTGAGTGCTGCGGAATCGTGGTGTCCTCCTAACACAGACATGCTCTTCAAACACTCCATCCCTTCCTGTTGAGGATGGGCATTTTTGGAAAGCATTTTTGGCTTCCCAAATTGTTTCTAGTCCAATTCAAGGTCTGTCCCACTCAGATACACTGGAAATATTTGTTTCCTATATACCTAGAGGTTAACAATTGGTATTTGCTTCTACATGTGTTACTGGAAAGCTACTTTATTAAGAATTCTACAGCAAAGATGGCATTATTATTATCGTGCAGTATTGTTCAATACATGGATACTGACTCTTTTTCTTATGCAATGATGGTTGCAGTCAGACGTAACAAATTACTTGACCATGACATTTCCATCATAAAATGTAGCGGTTTTAAAAGCTGTATTTGTAGGCAATGAATTTGACAAGACCATTTTTTCCCCTAAGAACTAATGGGCACTGGCTTTGGCTTACAATAAATTCATCTTAACATTTTCTCTAATTTATAAAACGAGCTTTAAAACGACTTATAAATAGAAAGATCATGAAAACAAGTAACAAATGCTACAGAATTTAGAAAAGTTATTTTTTAAGTCAAAAATTGTGCATGTACATTGTAAATGTACTAACTGAAAGGTATATTAGCAAATACTTTATGAAAAAAATGGACCAACTTCCATTGTAGGCCACCACAGATCAACAATTTAAATATCTACTTTTTCTCTAAAATAGCAACGACATTAAGTGTCTTATTAATTAATAATTTGACATGTAAAATATGTTATATATTCTATAATAACGTATAACCAATTATATATTAATTCCTTCATTATTTCAAAGTGTTTGTAACTGCCATTTACGATAATTAATCATACATATGAACAATACACAGCACTAATTTCCAAGTTGTTTCACAGACAATGCTACTATTTTTAATGATTTCTTGTTATTACCTGGAGTAGAATTTTCCTTGTTTTGCCTTTTGTTCATGCTGCAGCCTCATGTTTTCTAGTTTGACTGGACTTGGTATGAATCCTATTTCACAGCCTTCTTTTACCAATCGTCCTATCCACCAGTCATTATTAAATTTCTACAGATTAGAAAAAAAAAAAAAAGAAAAAAGTAACATACTGAGAAATTACTAGATCTGGGATAATTTTGTTAGTTTTAATTTGCAGCTATGCCATTTTTTTTTAATTCTTCCCTGCACTTAATCACTCTGCTATGCTATTACGGCAATGAAGAATTGTGGTAACATTCAGAAATACATTAAAATAGTTATTCCTTTTAAATTATTAAAATCCACAGTGCTTAAGCAGAAAGCTTCCTTCATAGACTTTATGTTTCTTTCTGGTTTTTGTTTCTTGCTTCCCAGTATTTTTCCTTCATACAGGAAAGTTGCTTTTGTTTTCCCTTCATGGTTCTCCTTGGAGAACATCAGAGACTTCTTCTGATCTACTCTGACCTACTGCTACAATTTTTATGACTCTGTAATAATCTATTGGTTTTATTGCATTATATTCAGTTCCCTATTCAAATTAAAAAATACTGCTTCTCAAACTCCCCCACTCCTCCAAAGTCACCAAAATCTTCTGAAATATGACCAAATTCTGCTGCTCATATATGCTCTACTGCATATAGCTCATGTGATCTGCATCATAAACTATGATAGATCCAGAAGGAATGGATATCTTTAGATAACTAAAAAACCCTTACAATTATACAAATCCACAAGTAGTCCAACTAACTGAATTTCAGCTCTATGTAATATGAGATAATGACTACTCTAATTCAATACATTTATTCATACACACACAAGGGGGTTGGGGAGGAGGTTTTTTATTTTTCAGAGGTCTGAAGAGTAAAACTATTTCCTTTTTCCATTATTATTTATTCACCATTTTTGGATGAGAATAGGTCACCCTTTTATATGGCCCCACATGCCTCTCAGTGTTCCATGGGAATAACTACCACCAAATATGAATTTTAGATAATTTGGATTATTTATGAAACTGTAGAAGAACATCTGAATGTGAAGAAAGTTGCCTTCTTGAATTTGAAGCTCTTAATGTAAATATTAAATATTATAGTGCTTTTTAATTATTTATTAAGTAGCTTTAACAAGTGTACAGTTAGGAATAAAATGTAAAATGTGTGGGCTCCCACACAAAGGAATTAATTTCACCACGAATACATCATTGGTGGATCATTGATACACAACCTAAATTGCAGTATTATCTTTCATTTTGGCAGCTATAGAAATCTTGCGAGGCTTGAAACCAACTGTAAGATATTTAGCTCACAAAAAAATAGAGATTAAAATAAAAGCACTTTTAAGCACATAATATATAAGGAGATCTGTAACATTCATCCAATGGGATGCCTTTATGAGTAAGAATACCAGCATTTGATAGGGAGTTAATCTGGAATAGCAGTTTCTCAAAGATGTATTAGACTGAAACATATTATTAAAATTATAACCTTTCATTGCAAAATGCTAACTAAATCATCAACTTGGTAAAAGGAGGAGACAGGTAATTAAAAACCACCATTAAATTACAATTTGAACAGCCACTATTATTTTATGCTGTCCTACAGTACAACAGATTACTACATAACAACATTAATTTTATTTGCAGTTATAGAAATGTTAAATACATAGAAATTTTTTCTTCATATAAAAATAAGAGCATGTGGAATTCACTTTTGCAAAGTCTCAAAGCTAAATGCTGTGTCAGTATATGAAAAGGAATATAAGATACTTTTATAAGTAGATAATACCATACATAATACTTCCTAATTTTAAAAAGCATCAATGGAAATCTTGGTAGTGAGGTGTCCAGCTCCCAAAGTGCTGGCAAGGGTGAGTGATTTTCTGTAATTCACCTGTGCTTGGAATGCCAAGGGAAACACAAAATATGAATTAAATGCAAAGCAAAATTATGACCATGAATTAAAGCCTCAAAATATTCAGAAGTGACCATGATGAAGCACACATTTCTTCATGCAGGAAGGAATCCTTCATCTTTATGTCCACTTAGTTTTAATGAATGTAACCTAATAATGAAAATAAATTTCCCTCATACATAATCACTGCAATGCTTTTCACCATTGTCCATGTACATTTTGAACTGAGTTTTTTCTTTCTTGAGCCCTCTCAGCAGCAGAAATTAGTGAACAGTCCTCAGGGACAAGAAGAGGACAGCATTAGTCCAGTATGGCATCATTACACAGGCAAAACTTATTGGACATTAACTTAGGTTTCTTTATTTCTAGCAACAAGTTAGGTATAAAATATAAAAGCAATACTTCATTTTATTGTCACATATTTTTTTTACTTTTAATCTGCATAAATCATTGAAGTTTGGACATTTCAGTTCTCCCAGCATTAACCACAGAGAGAACCAAAACTACTGAAGGAGCAATATCTGTTGGGATACAGAGCCCTGAAGAGCGAGCAGGAAGATGGAGGGGGAGGACAGAACTATGCAGGAAAGGGGCTGCTGCTTGGAGCACCCTTCTGGGGAGGTTCAACCCATCCAGACACAACAGCTGCTGCCAAACATGGAACCAGAGAGTCCAAGTCTGACTCCTTGCAGATCCTTTCCTGCTTTTCCATTCCAGTGGTGCACCTGGACCCGGTCACAGGCTCCCGTCCCCAACCCATCTCTGGCCTAGCACTGCTAGGCAGCCAACTTTCCTTGACAGCTTAGAGAGAAAACCAGGTGGTTTTAAAGGCTATTTGCACAGAGTTCCTCTTCTATTACACCTGAGACTGCAACAACATTTTAATCTATTTTTCCATCTCTCAGTGCTACATGTGGCCACAGATATTACAACAACTCAGCTGAGCTAAGCTTCCTTTCAAGGTATTTTTGGAGATTCAGAAAAGTTCAGAGAAATTTTTCATCCTGATGCTCTCCCAGGTATCTGTACATCTGAGACTAAGTTGTGCTGTGAGGAAAAAAGCATAAACTTTAACAGAAAACTGCTAACACTGTGTTTCTGGTTCATATGGAAACAGGGAAAACACTTGATGTAAAGTCTGAGATTACCACTTCATCTGAAGTACAGATGGAATAGATGACTACAGAAAATCATTTGATCTAACCAAACTGAGCCATATTTTCCAGTGCTTCAAGACTCAAGAATGATGATGGTTTTCTTTTGCCAGAACTCTGTGCCTTCTCATCTCTACTTCTTTTATAGGACAGAACAGAGCAATTCTTTCACACTACTATCATATAGAAAACATATTTCCTTCACTATATACAATCTGAACCAAAAGTATCCCCTTTTCGCATGTTTACTATACATGGAAAATTTTGACCATTAGTCATCAGTATGAAGGCACTAGAAGTCCATTTCTTGTGTTTCTGTAGTCTCTGTCCACCTGTATTTCTACCTCTGTATTAGGAATGTTTCTTGCTTCTGCAAAGCACTTGCACTACCAGAATCACTGTGCATCACCTATCATAACTATTGAGGGATTTTCTGATAGTCTAAAATGGGGAAAAGCCATAATTTCACATGCATGGTTGGGTTGCTATCAACCTTAAGTTAACTTTCTAGTTCTTTTGTTATAAATTTCCATTTCCAGATAGACCATTTTGAAACAAACCCCAATGGAATATGAATAGAAGCTGGGAACCTCAAACAATGAGGGAATGATTCAGAAGGCAGCGGCACGCTGCAGAGGAGGGCCTGCATGGCAAAGTTACCAAGTTATTTCTTTGGGATTGTCTTGCAAGGAGCAAAGAAATAAAATTACTCTTGGTGTTTGAAAATGTTAAAATTCAAACTTTTCAAAGCCAAACTACAGGAGAAGAAAGCCAATGCAGCAAACTCAAAGCACCTTTTATGAAAGTTGCTATCATCTTGAAACATCATATCAGTTCTCCAGCATGTAACTGTTAACAAAATATTGTCTGTGCCAGGGAATTAACTTCAAAGAAAAAAAAGAGACTTGAGGATTTTGGAGTTAATTGAGATGCAATCACACAAACAAAAGAGAAGCAACCCTGGACTCCTGAATCACAATGAACCCTCACAGTACTAGGTTAGAAAAAAACCACAAATATTTTATCTTTGAATAGTCAGATACACACTTTTAAAGCTATAAATAAGGGACTCTTACTAGACAAGAAAAGTGCTTGCTTTCTGAACTTCATTAATTTGATTTTAAGGAATTTGTGTCTTTGCTTGTAGGAGGATAGCATTTAAAAGAACATTCAATTCCTGATACACTGTTACCTTATTTAAATAACATTTGAAAAGTGCTTTAACAATGTGAAGTGTTATCAGCATTGTGAAATAGTAGCACTGTTACTCAAATATACCCTTAAAGAGAGATTCACTTACTCCTCTGGTTTTACTTACTTCTTTAACATGAAGAAAATCTTTAGCCTCAAATGAGATGGCCATGCCTGGGACTGGAACATCGTCATCATGAGCTGCACTGTACCCAACATTTGTCCGAACTGCAAATGCAACAGGTTTTGACTGCAAAAGAAAAGATAAACAGCCTGAAGACTTCCCTTGCGAACATATATTTATGTACAAACATATACACAGAAAAATTCTGTAAGTTATCCTTTTAAAATCATAACAGTTACAGAGAACTCTCATTGCATCCATGCAAAACATAAAGAAGAATCACGTTTACTGATACCAGTAATTTAATATCAACGCATTTCATAGAATACAGAGTTTTAGAAAGTGATAGAGCTCTGAATTAATTTGAGATAAGTCAAGTCAGTAATTAGAAACTACAATTCAGTTGGTGATCCATATAATATGCTTAGTTTGCAGTTCTGCTTCGAGTTCTGTGCTTGGGGCTGCCATAAGAGGTAGGGTTCCAAGAGCTACAAAGCCTACAGCCCCAGGGACACTGGGGCTGAAAAAGGCATGCCAAGGGGAGCACAGCATTGCACCATGTTGTTCCCTCCATACCTTTTTTTTCTGGGCCCCCACGTGCTGGTCACCTCAGCCTCATTGCTAAGGCTGCCATTAGTGAAGCCCTCTCAGCCTCAGCCCTCGGGTATTGTTCAGGGAAAATACAAATTTGGAGAAGAGGTGCCAGCAGCTGTTAGTGACCCCTATGCAAGTCATCTCACTGCAAGCCATTCTTAGAGCACAGCAACGTGCCCCTAGATCGTCATGTCATAACTAAATACCAACCACAGAGAGATTTGCTCATTCTCATAACTCTTTCTATAACTTTTACTGCTACATCAGTGAGTTTAGAGGATTTTCCCAAGTTTTGTTTTCAAGAAGTAGTTGCTGGAAGAGTCAGCGCCCCCACTGGACCCCAGCCCTGCCTTCCACCTTCTCCTCCCAAGCACCACTGGTGCTGAACACTTTTCTGCACAGGTATGGTAATAAAAGCTGCCGTCCACATCAGCTCAAACTGTAACTACTGAGGGCTTCCTCCTCTCAAAGGTACAACCAGAATACAGGAGAACTTATTCTGCTTTATTCTACGCTAAACACCACCTTGACCTTGGTCTCCCAACAAAGGATATCACACAGTATCCCTAGGACCCACCATTGTCCTACCCTAGGCTAAACCTTCAGCCCATCCCAGAATTCTCCACACCACACTTATTATCTAGTCTGAAGTGCCTATACATTAAAGCTGGTAAAATACTCTTTAAAATGTTGAACTAAGTCTCAGAGGTGCTCACAAGTGATTGAGGAAGGCATGACATAACTCTTCATCTTAAAATATAGTAAAACTTCTACCAGATGACAATTTTAGCTTTATTAGTTGGTATCCATCATCACTTCAGCTTGGCAAAAAGTATGGTATTTTGCAGAGCTGACAAGCAAAAAAATAAATCTCATTTCCTATGTAAGGAATTTCTTCCCTTTCTTCTCAACGTAGAAGTTATGAAAATGCACCCCCTACTTCATGACAGCAAACATGAATACCTGAAAACAAAAATCATTCTCTATTTTTCTGATTACTAAAAATCCCTGCCTGCTCTACCCACGATTACTCACATGGTGCCAGAGAAAGGAGACCTGCCACATTAAAATACATTATAAAATAATGAGGGAGATACATAAATAATTCTAAAGGTAGGATGATGCCACCTAGCCTGGAAAGGACAGTTGGAAATAAATGGAGAGAAGGATCCCTTTATTGCTTCATTTAGGTCTAATGTGCTGTAAAACCCACAGGGTACCAATAAAGCAGACTTTAAAACTCCTTAAATAGGCCTGTATTTGAATGAACTACCATAAACAGACAATTACATCTATGAGCACATTCTAGGAAGGCTTTCTAATTTAGAAAGCTCTTTCATAACAGTGGGGTCAAGAGAGTCTCTGTGTCCTGCAGAAGTGAAACTAGCAGTTTCAACAGAACTAAATTTTGCAATGGGACTGCAGAATTGGCTTCATGTTTATGTGATATTCTGGACCTAAATACATGTTTGTACAAAGGGATGATCAGGAAATTATTGGAGAAGAACTTTATCCCATCTGTTCTTTCTTCTGGAATCAGTGAAAAAAATCTTAAGAATCTTAGGAAAGATTTGGGTAGAAGGGCTCTAAAAACTGAAAGTGTCACCACTACATTAATCGTTGGACTCAATGATCATAGAGGATTTTTCCATCCATGATGATTCTATGATTCTATGATTTTAAACAGACACTTATTTAAACCAGAAAGCCAATGGCAGATTAAAAAATGAAATACAGGTGAATATATTTACAGGTTGAAATAACACATCTCAAGCATTGACTATCTCTCTTGCTGCTTAGCCACAGTTAGAACATTGCAAATGGCTTTTTTTTCCAGGTAACCTGTTCTAGGAAAAAAATTAATTAAAAAAAATTAGAGTAATATGTGAAACACAATAATGAAATAAACAGACAATAATTTTTAAAGTCTGTTTTCTTCCAACAAGGAAAATCCTATTGCTGTTGAAACATGCTCCATATGTTACTCAATGGATATAGGTTATATAAACAATTTGATTATATTTTTACCATGCAGGAGAAAAAAAGTTCCAATCACAAATAATATTTTTAAAAATATGTTTACACAACAGATAGGCCAATCAGATTTACCCATTAACAGAAAAAAAATGTAGAAAAACATATAACAAAAGGCAACTGGTTTAGATGAGTTTAGTAGATGTATTTATTAGCTATCATACTATGTTAGAAGATGATAGCCATAGTTTTTATATACATATATACACATATATAAAAATATATATATATATACACATATATATATGAATATATATATAAACACAATAAAAAACTAAGAGCTGTCTTAGCTCATTGTGTTGGGCATCTTTCTCATACCCTGATCTTTTCCAGTGTGTTGCAAAAGGAGTTTAGGCACTTAACACAAATTTCTGGTATGTAAACAATAAATCCTTAGTGAGTTAACCTTGTTGTAACCAGATAAACTGTTAGAAGGGCATCATGATATGATTATGCATTCATGATTACATTTCTGAAAATGGGCATTTATGAAAGCAATCATCCAAAAATAAATTTTGGTGATTTCTCCACATCAATTAAAAAATCCTGCATTGTTGATGGAACAGGTATGTCCACTTCCTAGCAACTCAAATTTGTCTTATTCATCTCCTTTACAATACTCTCAGTATTACTATCGCTCATTTACCTTACATAAAAGATACCAAACTATTATAGAACTAGACATGCCACAAAGAAGTAGTCACACAGGCACTGAATTCAGCAATATCACATATCTTCCTTAAAAATAAAAGACAGCATAAGCTACTGTTTTTTAATATTCACGCAAAACCCGAAAACCTTCCTGAATGTAAAAATTACAGACCAACAGAGGTGATGCTTTCTATGCTATTACAAATTTCAACATTGAAAATACAGATATGAATAAGCATTAAATTGTCAAATGTTCTAAACAATTCTTAGTATCAAATAGTATCTCATCAAATAAATAATTTGGTGTTATTAAGAAAGATAATTTTGTAAAGCATAGGAAACTGTCATTGTAGAAATATATCTCAGAACAAGAACTGAAATATTGTGGAACAATCTGTGCCTAACACTGATAGGAGGGACAGTACGCTTGCTTATTCATTCTCACAATTTCTGTATCCTCTAGCAAATATAAAAAATTGCTCAAGTGTTGTTACTTACTCCTAATAGTATCAGTGGATGAAAGACTTTAGGCTGACTACAGACTTTAAAATCTTTGCAGCATTGCAACTAATAGACATCTTCAGTAAGTTAGTGTCCTTGACATACTTCTTAGAAGTGATCTAAAATATCCTGTTAGAAGACAACACCTGGTTATCCAAGAAAAAGAATAAAATAGAAACTACTCCAGAACTATCTTAATACGAAAAAAAAGTAACAGGTAAAACTCCTCTGTCATTTTCTGCCATCAAAAAATTCATTTCTGTGAGCAGAAAAACAAAACAGAACATTGAGCTACAGATATTCCCAGAAATGGAATGTCCCATTTTAGATACTTGTCATACTGGTAGAAAGGGAGACTCAACTATCATGGGATTAGACCACAATACTTCATCTAATTGAATATTTAAAACTAATTAATTTATAGAAGTTAAATTCTGGTCTTTTTACATAAATAAATAATTCTGAAGCTTTCCCAGAACTGTCAAATTAACTAGTTTTCCTGAACTACATTGTCTTGAACTAAAAAAGCTCAGTTGTTACGTAATTAGGGTCTGATGAAAAAGAAGTAATTTTTTTCACATATGCATATGTATACTTTAAAATATATCTAGAATTTGGTTACGTATCCTACAGTTCTAAAATTAGATTGGGTCAAAACAGTTAAGCACTTTCTGTTCATTCTCTAAATTTATATGAAAATGGGGTGACAGTTTAGCACTCAGTTAATCCACAGACTGGACTACAGGGACAGATGCTCTGAGATGTTAAACAGTTTAACATTTCATGTCTCTCTAGAGAAACAAAGTAGCCTGGAGAAGTTCATATATCTTCAGAATGAACATTTCCACTTTGTTTTTCTTTTATTCTCCTGTAAAAGTACAACATTCAACAGACTGAATAAACCCACAAGGAGAACAACCAGACATGAACATTACCATCATCTGTACCACTAGGGTAGCAGGGAACACACTCTGGAATGGGGTTCTTCATAAACCAGTTTCAGCTTCCAATGTAAACTCAGAATATAAATCAACAAAATTATATTCACCAACTCTTAAACCATCTTTGGCTTACACTTTGACAACCAACACAAATTAAAGTGAGTCTAGAGTGACCTTAGTCAATTTAATCTTTTTCTATCTGGATCTCACTTCTTCCTTTACAAGTTATATTTACTTTATACATCTTCATACTAACCTCATTACTAAGTCCATACTATTTGCAGTATTATTATACTTTATTACCTATGTTCCCTCACTCTTGTGTTATGACTAACTCATATTGAATGCATACACAAGCATTTGCACATTGTACCTGTCTCAGTCAATTTGTCAGTTTAAACAACT